GGATGTATGTTTATGTAAAGCTGACTTAGAGCTTTATACTCTTTTTTTTGTTTGTTGACATTGGCTTTGTTCATTTGAAACCAAGACAATTTAGTTTTCTTTTTTTCAGTTGAAACTTTGCTTCAGAACCCAGAACCTTAAGGACAAAATGTCATTGAAACTCATTAAAACTACAATGTTCAATCCCACTGCCATCACAGCATGAAATCCCCTTTATATTATATCAGGCTCTCAATCTGGAGCCCTGGTTTCCACATTTAGTTGTAGATTGATTTCATTTCATCATGGTTGCTAAATAGAGCAAATACATGCCATTTTCTTTTGGTTTTCTTGCACATAATAAAATACAGATTACATGTCACTGATACTGCGGCATTATGTAACCAAACTGGCATTTAAAAAGGTTAAAATCCCGAAAATGAATGAATATTTGAAGGAAAAAAACTGGATAATGTTAATCTACAATATATAATCAATAAATAAAGTCATTTTCTACGCTGTGATATTTTCGAACCAAGTTCTAGTCACATATGTTGTGTTTGAGGGACATTTTGGAGCCAATATCTCAAATATAAAAACCACAGAAAACTAAAACCCCTTACGGCAAGCAGGAAGTGAAAAGGAGAGTTTTTTTTTACAACTTGAAATAACTCATCCTTTAAAACAGTAATGCAACAAGGGTTTAGTTGCATCTCAAAATATACTAGTGTTTTTCAGCAGTCAGGTTTTGCTCTGAATTTCCTCCTCTATGAGTTCAGCTAACAGCTAACTTTATTCTGACAATTACTCAACCAGCTCTGTGTAACTTTGGTAAATACCTGATCGGGTCTTGGGGAGGCCTGGAGCATTCTGGATGAAGTCTGGTGTAGCGATGGCACCGATCTTCTCCCGCACTGCGAACACAAAAGACAAAATCACATCAGATTTGGACTATCAATAGTGAGTAGAGAAGTAAAAATGCATAAAAAGAAATATATCTCAGGCAGAACTATAAACAATACATTTGTCAGAAATTTTTTGGAAACCTTCATTGAAGCACTTTTCTAAATAAAAACATAGATAGCGCCCTCTGCTGTCATAAAAAGCTACAATGATTATGTTTTATTTGACTGTTTTATATGTTTGCATTGCTATTGAACTGCTTCTCAATAAATAGTTACATTCCTATCAGATCTTTCTGCCTGACGAGGATCCTCCATCCATCCATCTTCTCCCGCTTATCCGTGGTGGTCGGGGGGTAGCAGTTCCAGCAGAGAGCCCCAAACTTTATTTCCCTGGCCACATCAACCAGCTCTGACTGGGGGATCCCAAGGCGCTCCCAGGCCAGCGAAGAGATATAATCCCTCCACCTGGTCCTAGGTCTACCCCTTGGTCTATGGTCTACCCCTTGGTCTACCCCTTGGTCTACCCCTGGTACCCTACCCCTTGGTCTACCCCAGCTGGACGTGCCTGGAACACCTCCCTAGGGAGGCGCCCAGGTGGCATCCTAACTAGGTGCCCGTACCACCTCAACTGGCTCCTTTCGACGCGAAGGAGGAGTGGTTCATCTCCGAGTCCCTCCCGGATGACCGAACTTCTCACCTTATCCCTAAGGGAGACACCAGCCACCCTGCGGAGAAAACCCATCTCAGCCGCTTGTATCCGCAATCTCGCTCTTTCGGTCATGACCCATCCTTCATCACCATAGGTCAAAAAAACGTGTATGCCCCTTTCCCTGACCAGGCTGTGTTTACCGACCTTGTCTTTTGAGGTCGGCCTCCAGCGTGCGGTTGAAGGTCAGTCCATCAGTCAGAGTTACGAAGCAGTAGAGGCTTTCTCCTTTCACAGGATGAGGTCTGCCCACCACCGCAGCCTCGGCAACGGCCTCGTGCTCCACCAGAGCCGACTCCACCTCCGCTGTACTCAATAAGTGACCTTCAGGGAAAGAGAGGAGGAAAGGGAGGTGTTTAATGAATCTTGGCTTTTAGATATTCCCCATTTATCACAGAAGGCTCAGCGGTCGGTCTTACCGGAGACATTCAGCATGTCGTCTATCCTGCCTGTAATCCAATAGTATCCATCCTCATCTCTACGGCAACCTGTAACGGATATACAGACAAATGCAACAAAAAAAAGATATAAAAATGAAATAAAGAACAAAATATATTAAAAGTAGGTCTTATCTCTCACCGTCTCCTGTGACGTAGTATCCCGGAAACTTCTTGAAGTACACGGTTTCAAACCTCTGCTTGTTCCCGTACACCGTCCTCATCACACCGGGCCACGGCTGTTTGAACACCTGTTTGAAAGCAGAGGGAGCAGAAACCGATCAAAACACATGACCAGTGAATACATCAAACATCATTAACATGTGGTGGTGATGATGATGATGATGCTCACCAGGTACCCTTCGCTCGGTCCCTCCAGCTCCTCTCCAGACTCATTCAAGATGGCCGGAACCACTCCGAAGAACGGGAATGTCTGGAGGACAGAAGTGATGGTGAATAAAAGTGGATTGGATTTGTGTTTAATTACCTCCACCAAGGAGTTTATATTTGTAGCTTAGTCTGTCTGTCAGCAGGATTAATGATAAGTGCCTGGTACAATTGTCGTTAAACTTGGTGTTATAATACACGTATGATAACATTGTGTAAATAATCAAATGCCTCTTAAATAATTTCTGATTCTATACACTTTTTTATTGTCTTAAATGTTTTTTCTATCACTTTTTCTTCTTCTTTCGTGTCTTTATGTGGGACAGTCGACCAGGATGTTCCATGTTTACCAGGGCCACCCTTACGACCACCACCCTTTGCTCATCTGACTCGATGTCACAATACTATTTTCGTAATACCGCCACGCACTTTTTATCCAGTTCGTTGGATATGGTGATGATAAGTGAACGAGGTCACTTACATGTGAGTATTCGTGAAAAAACCTTAATTAACTAGGCTTTTGTTATGAAGGCCTATTGAAGACAAGAATATCATTATAAAAATGACGAGTGATAATGGATTATGACAGACAGAGTCAAATGCAACCACTTACGGTTGGTACTAAAAATATTTTCCTACAGTAGGTAATTGTATCGAAGACTAGAAATACTTTGTTAAAAGGTACTTTATAGGTATTTGTGCTTAACCAGATTTAGTGTGATAAATGAAAAACAGCTTCTATTTTTTAAAATTTTAAAATAGAATAAATAACAACACAAAACACCAGTATCAGTAACATTGTTACTTAAAACATTGGTATCGACTGAGAAATGTCACAATGGTGCATCTCTAATATAGTTTTTAAATATGTAAACAGTTACCATATGCACATGCCAAATAAATACAGAAGTTGAGGTTTATTTCCCATTAACAGGTAAACAGTTCAAGTTTTTGCTTTTTGCTTCAACAACTATACTATAGAACTGGAGGGATGAAACCCTCTTTAATGGCCACACATGCAGAGCACACAGCACACGCACTGGCATTTGTTCTCTGCTTTTAACCCATCCTAGTACTAGGAGCAGTGGGCAGCTAAGTACAGCGCCCAGGGAGCAATGGGAAGTGAGGGGCATGGGGGGGATGTCCGGTGACTTGCTCAAGGGCACCACGGCAGGGCCCAGGATGTGAACTGAGACCTCTCCAAGTACCAGTCCACACTAATGCATCATTGCCTAAAAGAAGAAGTGTTTATGTTTGGAACTCTTCCAAAGAAAGATGATAGTCATGAGTTTGCTTCTTTACTTTCCTTTCAACAGTCACATTAAAACTGTTACTAAATCAGCCTACTATCACCTTAAGAATATATCTAGGATTAAAAGACTAATGTCACAGAAGGATTTGGAAAAACTTGTCCATGCTTTTATCTTCAGTAGACTGGACTACTGTAATGGTGTCTTCACAGGTCTCACTAAAAAATCTATTAGAAAGCTGCAGCTGATTCAGAACGCTGCTGCTCGAGTCCTCACTAACACCAAGAAAGTGGATCACATCACTCCTGTTCTGAAGTCTTTACACTGGCTTCCTGTGTGTCAAAGAATAGATTTCAAAATACTGCTGCTGGTTTATAAAGCTTTGAATGGTTTAGGCCCAAAATACATTTCTGACCTCCTGCTAAATTATGAACCATCCAGATCTCTCAGGTCTTCAGGGACTGGTCAGCTTTCTGTCCCCAGAGTCAGAACTAAACATGGAGAAGCAGCGTTCAGTTATTATGCTCCAAATATCTGGAACAAACTCCCAGAAACCTGCAGGTCCGCTGCAACTCTGACTACTTTTAAATCCAGGCTGAAGACTTTTCTTTTTGCCGCTGCTTTTAATTGAACTATTCACATCTTAAACTGCACTGTAACCTTTATTCATGTATTTTTTTCTGTTTTTAAATGCCATTTTGCCGCTGCTTTTAATTAATATATTCAGGCTTATTATTTTTAGGGTCGAAGTCCCCTACGGTATTGGGGTTAAAGTCCCCTAGGTGTGCCGTTTGGTTTCAAGACCCTGGTTCGCGGAGGACACCAAAAAAGTCCTAGAAAAGACAACTTAAACTTAACTAATGTGCATTTATAAAATATGCCCTGTGTTTATATTGCAAGATCAAAATGAAGGCAAACTTTAACAAGTATGGTCACAGCACAGTGTGGTAAGGGGTTTTATTTAAACCCTGTCCCCATTTGATATCACAAAAAATGTACCCCCACTTAACTCCCCTCGCCCAGTTTGGCGTTGCAGCTGGTGTTTTCCCTTTGCAAAATGGTCTCTAGTTTTATTAGATATAAGATATTATTGGCATGAATTTGAGAGAAAAAATATATGCTCTTCAAAGATAACAAACTTCAACGGGGAGATGATGGTGATCATAAGTAAATAGGCCAGCAGATTATGTACTTGTGTCAAAAGATTGACACCCTTGTCCACATACTTGTGTGCATTTTCCTGCTTTGTGGCTACGGTTCATGTTTGGGCTGTCGATTTACTTCTTCTACCTTTCCCTATTGTCGTATAAACCAGTTGATTGATTCGATTTTATTTTTAAATGAACACATATTTAGCTTTAAAAGAGATGAGATGGATTGTTGGACAGGATGTATCCATTTATTAAATCAGCTGAAATAAAATCAGAAATTTCAAAATGGCTTCCAGCAGTGATGTCATCGAGGCTTGACACCCTGGTGGAAGAGACATCGCGAGTGGGGTGGTGACATCATAGTGTCAGCATGTGGGGGCCAGGGTTCTTCACAGGCGCACCCCACAAACAAAGGGTTTCAAATGGGTACAAGGAGAATCATTGATAAGATCTAGAGTTTAAGAGTTAGGAAACAAACAAGCAAATATCAATCAATCTCACAATTATTTGATGTGTACGATGTCAGAAATGGTCACAGTTTTCTAAAGCCTAACTTCACATTTTTAACAAGTACATTTGAATGGATCAGGTAGATCAAATAATTAAAAAGTTACATAATAGTATATCAATCTAATACTTTAGAGGATTCTACTCCTAATGTTATGTATAAATAAATGAAATTCATAATCCAGATTATATAAGTTATCAGTTACCAAAGATGACTTTTGTAACATGAATTTTAACAGCTAAATTGACATTGCTGGTGGTAAACAGATTATTAGTGCATACCGTGATAGTTCATCGACAAGCAGTTTTCTTGACCTGATTATTGTCGGGTTGGCCGGGAGCCCAGTTTTTGGCGACAAACTTGGTACCATCATCCACATCCACATCCACACGCCCTCCTAAAAAAAAGTTTAATGATCAATTCAATCCAATAAAAAAAAACTATTTACCCCATCCAACCCTGCTGATAGTTCAGTGTCCAGATGTCAGCTTTACCTTGGTTCTATTATATTAAACAATAAAGTTAAGTGCAAATTTAATTACGAATATATTCAAGGTCAGGCTTAAAGGAGACGAACCCATTGCATCGTGTTTAATATTAAATTACTCACCTTTGCCAAGTCATTGCCTCCAATCCAAGTCTGTTCATTTGCGTTAGTCGCTGTGTTTATGATCTTTCTGATAAATGTGTACACCTTGTTGGGGATTGAAGCCAGATTTCCACCAAGGGCAATGCAGTCCACCTAATATGCAACGTGTGGATTGAATAAAATAACATAAAGCAAGTGAGAGAAAAGCGAGAGTTAAATGAGGAAATAGAAGTGAGAACTCTATAAACATGTTGGTCAGTTATAACTCGTATTGTTCCTCGATGTACCTCTGCATCAGCCCAGGTCTTAGCAGCATGCTTGTACATGTAACAGTGATCTTCAAACGGAGTCCATCCAGAAGGGCAGGTCTTACATGGGTCATGGCATGGCTTTTCTAAAGATGATAAGGACATTCATTAATCTGGCATGGAATAAGTGTGAGAGGAAAAGCGTTAAAGTGATATTTTATAGTTTGGGAGCAATTTAAAACCTCAAAGAAGTGCAGTAATCATTCTTCCTCTCCATATTGGTGGAGTGACTAAAACATATTTTAAAGTAATAATCCTTTAGGAGAAATCCCCTCTTTGTGTTACTATTCCTCACCAGCAGCTCAACAATTTAACAATGTAACTAAAACCTTAATTTGGGAAAATAATTAATTGTTAGAGCAGCAGGTAGAAAGTACAAGTCACTTTATAATTACCAACCTTCTTTCTGTGCCTGTGAACACAAAGAAAACATCATTATCAATGGATTAATAGGAACTTAATTGTATATGTTATTGTGTGTTATTCAATACCTTATTATAACCCTAAAGATCGTGGTATATAAATGTATTAGTGTGCGTAAAACTTACATTTGCTCCACTCCACAGTCCACTGGTCAAACAGAGGACCACAATGAAATGAAGACATGAAGCCATCTGTGTAAAGAAGTTATTAATAAGTTATTGCATCATTTACAAGTATATTTAATGTCTTAATGTGTACCTCAATTACAAAATTAAAATTAAAAAAGATTCTAATTCAGAAATAGAGAAGACAATAAAAAATATATACACAAAAGTTTGGAGGTTTTACTGAAACAAGACATTGTAAAGCACCAGACATGAAAAGGTGATTTCACTTTTTCAGAAGTGAAAACTAAACGTAATAATGAATTTATGATATCTCTTTCTGTAGGTATCAAAACAGATGAAGCCATAATGAAAGACAAGTATGAGAGCCTTACCTTGTTATGATGATCAGTTGAGGTTGCACTTGCAGCAGGTAACAGGGTGACTTTGAGAGGGAAATCCAGAGTTTATACTTGGTTAGCAAGTCCTTTGTATAAATATTGTGTAATCTATTGGCTCAGACTTGAGGAAAACCAGAATGCTCTTTAAACAAGATATTGATCCACTGCCTGTTCAGCTATCAGCCACAGCATGTCCAACACAAATTTAAACTCCAACATATTCAAATATTTTCAAAAATAATTAACAACATGCGTACATTTTCATCCCACTATACCTTTTCTTTACATGTGTTTCACTGAGATAATATAATTTCGCAAACGTTCGCCTCAAGACACCATTGTTCTTACTGGACCCACACTGAAACAAATCATTTATAACCTTCAGGTACACAAATGCAAAATACAGAAGGAAGTTCTGCGATACAACTCTCACAGTATGTGTATATATATCCCTGCCTCCAAACGTATGTGTACTTTAGGTTAGCGGCCAGTGATCATTGTTTACTGTTCTTGTGTTAAAAGGTGCTTTATAAATTAACTTGCCTTTCCTGGCTTTGATGCTCTGATATCGTCCAATATCCTGGACATATTGATGATTAAGCATATAATGATATTTTAGTCAACAGTGTTCTTAATACTTTTGTACTTCCTAAGTACAAGCCAACAGATAACTACTGTGTACATAGCCAGGTCCATAAGAAATAACCCCATTTATAAAATCTGTTGGCATGCATTCATTCAATACCTGGCACTATTTACTCCTAACATTTGTCTTTTATGTGGGACAGTCGACCAGAATGTGCCATGTTTACCAGGGCCACCCTTATGCCCACCACCCTTTGCTCATCTGACTCGATGTCACAATACTATTTTCGTAATACCGCCACGCACTTTTTATCCAGTTCGTTGGATATGGTGATGATAAGTGAACGAGGTCACTTACATGTGAGTATCTGTGAAAAAACCTTAACTTGGCTTTTGTTATGAAGGCCTATTGAAGACAAGAATATAATTATAAAAATGACGAGTGATAATGGATTATGACAGACAGGAGTCAAATGCAACCACTTACGGTTGGTACTAAAAATATTTTCCTACAGTAGGTAATTGTATCGAAGACTAGAAATACTTTGTTAAAAGGTACTTTATAGGTATTTGTGCTTACCCAGATTTAGTGTGATAAATGAATATCAGCTGCTATTATAGTTGTTAGAATAAATAGCACAAAACACCAGCATCAGTAAAATTGTTACTTAAAACATTGGTATCGACTGAGAAATGTCACAATGGTGCATCTCTAATATAGTTTTTAAATTTGCAAACAGTTACCATATGCACATGCCAAATAAATACAGAAGTTGAGGTTTATTTCCCATTAACATTACATGTTACTTGTTAGACGCTTTTATCCAAAGCGACTTACATACTCAATACTGTGGGCAATCCCCACAGTATTGGGGTGAAGTGTCTTGCCCAGGGACACAACAACATGCTGACTGCAGTGGGGTTTGAACCTGAGACCCCCTGATACGAACACCGGACAACCCACTACGCCACACGACCCCCCATTAACAGGCAAACAGTTCAAGTTTTAGCTTCAACAACTATACTAATGCATCATAGCCCAAAAAGAATGAGTGTTTATGTTTGGAACTCTTCCAAAGAAAGATGATGGTCATGAGTTTGCTTCTTTACTTTCCTTTCAAAGCTCACTACATTCGTGAGCATCATGGGCGTCGCCTAGGGTAGGCATCCGGGGCTTTATTTCTTTAGCCCCGGACAAATTCTCCCTCAATAATATAATACATTAACCTACTTTACCTATAGGACGGACGGCAGAAATGTAATTTCCCATGTTCAGTGAATGCAACACAGAGGCAAGACGACGCCACCAGACCAATCAGAGAGTTGCATGGAAATAAACGTGTTTTATTGGCTGACAGGTACGTACCTCTCCTCTGTGACAATGTTTACACTTTAAACTGTCAGCCCCGGACGCGGAGATTCTGAAGATGACATTAGAAGTTTTTTTAATAAAAAAGACGGCAATTCTCAAGTGGTGGCTCACACAACAACCCCAGAGCCACCACCTGAGCCAGGTGAACAAGGTATGTACCTGTCAGTAAACTTACAAGTTATGCGAACATGTAAGCAAAGCATAAAATACAGCTACGTTGACGTTACTTTGAATCGCGCGGGTAAACTAAACCGTTAGCAAGTAGCTATAGCTAGCCAGATTAAATAAACACTTTGTCACAATCTAAATGTTGTGTTTTTTAGCGTTACCTGGTGATTTCAAAGAAAGCTCTCTGGGAAATGTTGACTTACTGTCAGTGTTCGACATGAAGCTATAAGCTACTTTACAGTAGTACAGTTGATCCTGATTCCTGAGTCCTGTCAGTTAAAGTGTTTCATAGTTAGCTTAGCTAAGCATCAATGTAGCACTGAAATATATGGATGTGAATTACTCAAACTACATTTGCAGGGTTTCCCACACATAGACTATACTTGGGCGGGCCGCCAGGTATATTACCGGCCGCCCAAGTATATTTCGCGACCCATTTAGTTTTTTTTTTTTTTTTTTATCCTTTTTTTTTTATATATATTTTTTTTATTCGTCCGTGACCACGACGCCATCTGCGATCGATTAACTTGTAGACAATGATCCCTCGCTCCCTTGCTCTGATCTCGCCTCCTTCTGGCCTGTTAAGTGGCCTGCCTCACACTGGCTGTCCACATGATGTGGCCTGCCGACATGGCCACTGTCATACAGATCATAAATCAAAGCCCTTGATTGGTCTCTGTGTGTCATTCAAGCTCGGGATAACCTCAGCTCAGGTGAGGTAAAGGACTCTCTGAGTGTTTAGATAGTTAACTTAGTCTAAGTTCTCAGTGGGTCTCAAACGGTGTGGTCACCATTTATGTAAACACATATTTCCATTTGAGAGGGTAGTGATTGGTCTAATGGATAGTGAGGTGGGCTGAAGATCGGAAGGCTGTGAGTTCAAATCCCGCCAGGAACACCACCACTAGTGTGCACTTGAGTAAGGCACTTAGCCCTTAGTTACTCCAGGGAGAATGTCCCTGTAATCGGTCATTATAAGTCGCTTTGGATAAAAGCGTCAGCTAAATGAAATGTAATGTGATTAGTAAAATATGCATGAATAAATAAATAAAAAGTTAACTAGGTGAAAAAAGGTAAGATACACTTTTAAAACTTGTTGAGAGAAAACTAGTCTTTGCTGCTGCCTCAAAGAGGAGCAGGGGGAGAGGAGGGAGACAGGAGAGGCTGATTCAGGAGCTCAGACACACTCACAACTATAAATGAACCAAAACTAAATTAATAAACAAGTTTCAGTGTTTTTTTCATATTGGAAATGGTATGTTATTGGTTATGGCCTTGATTTTATGATTATTGAAATGTATACAGTTCTGTTAAATATAGGTGTTTCCATAGATCTAGTCTCTTTATTTTCCCCTCAAAATGCACCAGATTGATGCATTTAACTCCAAAATAAAAAATAAAATCTTACCGGGGGGGCATGCCCCTGGACCCCCCTAGAGGATTTGAGGTCGACCCCCACTAAAAATCACATGGATAGGTTCCTAAATACATTAATAAATACATTTATTTTTTTAAATAGTAACTCATTTCCATATGTTCATGTGTGGGTAGTAGATTTAAACTATAGGGCTATCATTATGGACCCTGCCTGTACCTGTTCGCTCTGCCATCGCGTGAAGGGTCTGCTAACAAGCGACCAACAGAAAGGTTAATGTTGTTGCACGTCACCTCAACCCCCCCCGCTACCACCACCCCCCAAAGTATATTTCAGATCTGTGGGAAACACTGGCAGTTAATGGACCAGCACCAGAGGCATTCCCATACACACAGGCGTTGGAGCTGTTCTTCATGAAATCCCAGAAGGATGAAGTGCTCTGACAAACAGTGCCATCTTTGCGCAAAATGATTATACCGGAATGAAAAGTCAATAAATAATGTTGTTAAAATAATGTTGTTAAAACCTTTTTTTTTTTCCCTTTGTATTTTCCCTTTTGGATGAGGATATGTTCCCCTCTCTTAAGGCCATCTTCCAAGCTGCTTTGACAATCCCAGTCACCAGCTGCAGTTGTGAAAGGTCCTTCTGTGCCCTGTGAAGGCTACACACTTGGCTGAGAAGTACAATGGGCCAGGTGAGGCTTAGTCATTTGGCCATCATTTCCATTGAGAAGGAGGTCTTGGCTAATGTGGCCCATGGAGAGGTCATCGACCAATTTGCGAATGTCAAACCAAGGCGATTCAGCCTAACACTTCCACCTACAAAACAATAAAGAGTCTGAAGACAGCGAGTGATGATGGGGAGAAAAACGAAGCAAATGAAAGGTAATGTGATGAAGGAAGCAAGTGATGAGGGGAAACGGCAAGTGAGGAAGGAAGCAGAAAGTGATGAAGGAAGCAAGTGATGACGGAAGAAAGTGATGAGGGGAAACGGCAAGTGAGGAAGGAAGCAGAAAGTGATGACGGAAGCAAGTGATGAGGGGAAACGGCAAGTGAGGAAGGAAGCAGAAAGTGATGAAGGAAGCAAGTGATGACAGAAGCAAGTGATGAGGGGAAACGGCAAGTGAGGAAGGAAGCAGAAAGTGATGAAGGAAGCAAGTGATGACAGAAGCAAGTGATGAGGGGAAACGGCAAGTGAGGAAGGAAGCAGAAAGTGATGAAGGAAGCAAGTGATGACGGAAGCAAGTGATGAGGGGAAACGGCAAGTGAGGAAGGAAGCAGAAAGTGATGACGGAAGCAAGTGATGAGGGGAAACGGCAAGTGAGGAAGGAAGCAGAAAGTGATGAAGGAAGCAAGTGATGACAGAAGCAAGTGATGAGGGGAAACAGCAAGTGAGGAAGGAAGCAGAAAGTGATGAAGGAAGCAAGTGATGACGGAAGCAAGTGATGAGGGGAAACGGCAAGTGAGGAAGGAAGCAGAAAGTGACTTGAAAATCAAGTGTTTTTAAATATTAAACCCCTTTCTGATTCTGAGATTTTTTTTACATATGGGTGTTGAGAAATGTATCCATAGATCTCTTAATGTTGCTCTCAAAGTGCATCAGATTGATGCTTTTAACTTCAATATTTAAAAAAAATCTTCCTGGGGGAGTTTCCCCCAAAATAGTACTTTACCTCTGCTTATGTAACTCCGGTGTATTGTCCCCTCGGCAACAGATCACTCACAGTTGGTGATTACTTTCCAGCATTTCAATTGACAGCATAAAAAGGACATGTGAGCTTCATTGCTTAAGAGATCCTCACATGCTATCTCTTTAAAAAAAGAAGTGTCCAGTCAACAACAAAATATCAGTGATCGTATAGTGATAGTATATTTTTCACAAGCGATGTGAAACATTAAACTTAAAAAAACTGTGAGGGCCTAAGATATTCTACAAAATAATATTTAAAAACATTTTAGTTATATTTTTCATTACTTTTACCAACTTGATTTAATTGTATTTAAAATAACATTTCCAAAGAAATAAATCCTTCGAATCTGCCTGTTCAGTTTCTGTTGGAATGTGAAGGGTTAAATGAAAGAAGCTCCTCTCTGTGAGTGTGAAGACAGGAGCTGTTGGACGTCCAGCTAGAATTCACAGAGGGCCAGCTATTGTAACTAAAACGAGAGAGAAATGTCAGTACAATTGACCAATCATATCTTCCTTCTAAATGGGTGGGTGTTATTATCGCGGACTTTATGACATAATAACTCGAGGGAAGGGGGTGGGGGTCAGAGGGCCTAGGTATAAGTGCACGGCTCGCCACTGCAAATAGCCAATCACACAAAAAACATGTTGCTGTGACTGTGAGCATTAAACAATTAAAATTAAACTAAACAAACACAACAGTACGTTATTGTCCTTATAAAATAAAAACATACATTTTGTCCACCGATATAATACAGGCACCTTACCCTCAAGAGATCCTCACGTGCTATGAGAATCTCCCACAATCTATTGCCATAACAAAGCTAATGCAGGCATACGTTTGTGACACTAGATGGCGCAATTGTGTATGTGCGTGTGGGGAGTCTTGCAGTAGAACATTTGACTGTAGTGCCGCCACTGTGGGCTAAGCCCCGAATGTTTCCAGGTCCAGGCAACGCCCCTGGTGAGCATCATATTGCTCTTTTGTTTTTCTTCATTGCTTAAACAAATATATGCTTAATTAAATGATTTGTTCAATACAACACTTGGTTGTAAAAGCAAATACTCATGAGAAAACACATCACACCCCTTGTTACGGTGGTCGTCTTAACTTTGTTAAACTGTGTTATATGCAAATGAGCTGTGCGGTTGCCCTGACGTCATTTGCTGCCATTTCCTGGTCCGCCCCCTGAAGATTATGATTGGAGCACGCCGGGCCCGATGCACTCCAATCGCAGCGCACAGCCGGCGCACACCTGCTGGAGATGACTACAAAGCCTGGGGACAATTATCACTCTGGAGGCTCTGACATGTGGATAGATGCCTCTCGCTACTTGCTCCTTAGAGAATTATGTTAACTGTGGTTAAACTTGTGTGATTAGTAGTGTCGAGAGTAGCTTAGTTAGTGTTTAGAGTCTTAGGATTTTGTGACTGCTGCTGCCTTTAGTTTAGCTGTGGTTTTGTACAGACTCTTTTTGTTAGTTGTATCACTTTTAAAGTGAGGTCTTATTTAGTGTAATAGTGTTTATTCCCCTATATGCAATTAGACTCCTGTTTTAGAGTCCTCCTTTTGTTGGTAGCCTACTTTATTTAATTCTGCGCCCTTTTTGGCCGTTGTTTGTGCCAGGCTGCATGTCCTATTATTTTGTTACCCTGCTATCTAAAATAAACCCATTAGACCAATTCCAAATGGTGTGTGTTGTTTTCCTCTACCCCTAGAGGGGGACGTAACACCACTGCAGCCTAAACCAAGGAAAACACCAAATCTTAAATGGTAAACTGGATTGTATTCTTCTTAACCTGAATTGTTATTCTTTTGAGTTTTGCCTTTTTATTTTCATAAAATAAAAGTAGCCATGACCTGAGCCTTGAGGCAGTGAATAAAATTGGCGTGTATGGATTTAAAGTTCATTCAAAGTCAGTGAATCAATTATTTCCCAGACAAAGTATGTCTGTCTCTCAAGATGAACCAGATGCTACAGTGTTAAAATCTTTTTAGAGTTTTGCCAAAGGTTAATATGCTTTTATAATTTTCAAATAGGTGTATCGTATAAAAAAGGGGAAAGGAAACTTTTTGATGCTAATAAATCATTTAAAAAAATTGGATTGAAGATGTTAGAAATTGCATGTGTGTAACCCTCCTGTCCACAAGAGGCACTGTGTATGGAAGCAGGTAGAAGTTCCTGACATAAATAAAATAGAGGCCTGGATGAGGACTTCCTCCGCTTTGTCCTCAAACACCCACACCAGGGGCCCTTCTCACTTCGGTTAAATGGAATCCTTGCTTCCCTCACTTGCGTCGTTTCCCTGCGACTAGTCCCTCCCACTAGGGAAGCATGGAAACCACGAGAAGTAGGGAAATGAGTTTTAAGAGCAATGGGACGTCCTTTCAATATGGTCTAGCTGCGGCCGCGGACAGTACACGACGGTACCATTTGTGATGACGCTGCACAGCTGATCGTCTGACAGCAGCTCTGTCTGCGTTATTTCCACACAGAATTCTCAAACTAATTCTCAAAAAAGATAAACGCCATTCTTAAAATGTATAAACGAACAATAGTTTGATTAATATTGATTAGAGTGCACAATAGAAATAAAATAATTGAGAGAAGAAAAAGAGATATATTATCTATCAAAACCCAGTTAGATTAACATTCATTGGATTGCACTGTTGTTTGTGTGGATATGTAGCAAATTAACATTTTAAATAGCACTTAATGACTGACTGAATGGAAATGACAATAAATGAAAATGTAAAACGAAAAAAGTGATCATGAAAATGTTTCCAAAAAATGAATAAAATAATTTTTACTACTTTGTTGTTCAGATATATCACATATTTGTGACTAAATTATACATTAATTGAAACAAAACATGGTATAGACTGAGGAGTGACTCTCGTGAGGTTCATGTATTTTCTTCACGCCGCTGGGAAACTGCTCTCATGTCAAGAAGCATCAGATCAGTGCATGCGCTGCATCGTCCAATCAGTGAGCGATACACAGTAAGGGGGCGGCGCGAGTGTCTGAGGATTTCATCGGAGGATGGTCTGGTGGTTCCTCGGTTATCGCTCCTCTATTATCGCTCCTCGCTCCTCGATCCTCCGGCAAAAATAAGGCCATTGGGACGCTACTCAAGATGGCGCAGACAAATCAACTTCCGGTGAGACCGAGGAGCGAGGAGGAAATGAAAAATAAGAGAAGTCAAACGCAGCCCAGGATTGAGTGTTTGGTAGCTGTTCGCCATGTGTCTTTTGATTGACCAATGTAAGTAGAATCCTCTTTGTAATTTTGATGTTTGTACTTGAGTAACCTCAATGGTATTGTCATGGCCAGTTCTACTGATCATATTTCCATTGTTGAGGTCTACTAGAATAGATTTAAATTGTGCAATTTTCCAAAATCACATTGGTTTCTCATACAGCATCTCTGTATAGTATGTGTATTCACTCTCTGTCCTAAACGGCTTGTTGGAGCTCCTGCCCCCCCTCCCTGTGAACCCAGTGTGCTCTGATTGGTCGGGACGTTGCGAGGCTCGTTGCTGCTGCGAGGAGCGGACAGGTTTCCGGGTCGGCGATACAGCGAGAACAAGCGAAACTCATCATGAGCCAGGGCCATCGGCCGGTACTGATGTGGGCCGGTCGGATAAGTCACTAGCAGATTGGTCCATTTGGGCCAATCCGGTCATTTGTTGTTGATTGGGTGTTCACACGTCACAGAACCCAGGAAGCAAACAATGGAAAATGAGAAATCTCCAACGAGGCGTTTTGGGGCAGCATAGACAGGTATTTTCTGTGTTAATTTTACTCGCTACAGGGTACTTTGAGGGTTTTTGACTCTGCAGACCGTACTTTTCCCACTTTAGTTCCGAAATGTTGCGTTCACAACAAAAAATTCCGGACCAAAAATTAGTTAATGAGAACCTTTTTACCCCCTTTTCGTCCCTGCTAGAGAGCAGGGAATTTCGTTGGAGAAAAAGGTTCCTATTTATGATTGGCTGGGCGAATTGCAAACCATGCCCTGTAAAACTCCCAAAAAGTTTTGTGAAGCCGCCATTTTATTATCCTTGCATTAGCATTAGCCCAGCGCGCGCAAACGCAGAGAGACTAACTTATGGCAACACAAAAGAAAACATGGGAGATGAGGAGGTGTCGGTGTTCTGGCGATTTCCCAGCAGCTTCTACTGAAGCCAGTCCCCAACTCCGGGAACTTCCGGCCGGGGACTTCGGGTGGCAGTATACGCCGTGTAGTTGTTTGCGGCCTGCCAGTAAACCCAAAGCAGAAGAAGAAGTGACATCAGCTGCTTCATTTGCCTAATCCTCCCCCAGGGACTTATTCCGGTGTGAACGCGATCTGAACTTAGTTCATGAGAACTAAAGAGTTCTCATGAACTAAGTTCTGATGAACCTTTGTGGGAAAAGTACTGCGGTGTGAAAGCGCCAATGGGACGGGTGATAACCGGAAAAGCATGACATGGGGCCTTTAACATAAAGAAAAAGCCTAAAATCACTTTTTAAAAAGGCCATACAATTACTTCTTAAACGCTGTTAGCCTAAGGAGTAAAATCACAGGAAAAAACATACATAACAAACGCATATCCAGTCACAAAACAATTCATTATAAAAAGGCCTTACCTTCAGATGAGCTTCTTACTCGACCTAGTGCAGGATTTAGTAAGCCTTTCCAGTCCGTTTAACTCTTAGCCTGCTCCATGATAACTCTGCATTGTCTTGAAGTTAGAAATATTGTTGCTGGTTGACAGCCACACACTGATAGTTCTGACTCTCCGACGCCATTGTTGTGCCCTTCAAATTGCCGCCGCGCCACCTTCGTCTCCTTATCGTCAATCTCAATTTTATATGAGACTCCACTTTGCCGTTTGTCCATATGAGTAAAACATCAGTTTTCCCGTTATAACAGTTACACATTTTGGTCGTGAAGTTAGGGCTCCCTCGGCGACCATCAACCGTTGGTTGGCACTGGTAACTACCGTTATAGCTAACTTTGCCATGTAGCTTAACGTTAGAAAAATGTGTAGCTCAATTAAGCCCGGAACACTTTAATATAAAATAAGTCTAATATAAGACCAAAGTTTATAATGCGGACCTGAGGCTAGGGAGGCTGTGGCTCAGTGGGTAGTGTGCTGGACTTTGAATCAGGGGATAGCAAGTTTGAGTCCCGTCGTTGTGTCCCTGGGCAAGACACTTCACCACAAATTGCTCCTGAGGGGATTGTCCACAGTACTGAATGTGTGTAAGTCGCTATGGATAAAAGCGTCTAACAAATGACATGTAATGTAATGGACCGCCGAATGGAAAGTGAAGTCCTCAGCAACATTTCAATGATTTGCATTGAATATTTCCATGTCAGGAACACAATAAAAACTCCAAAAGTTGGCAGGTAACTACACCAGCGAGCTAACTGAGATCCAAGATGGCGGATGACACCTTTCCTTTTCTTCCTCCCTCTCTGAAAGGAGCTAAGAGCTGCCCAGTTAAATAATTAAGTATCTGATCAAAGGAATATTACAAAAATCTTCTGTTATAACAAAAAACGCAGTAGTACCTGAGATTGACAGGTCAAGTAATCAACCTAAAAAAAAAGTTTTGAGTTTGTTATTTTTAATTCAAATAAATCACCAATACACAACATGCACTGTGCATGTAGTGCATTTCCTTAGATTGCTGGTAGTGCCTTGTTAAGACTGATGCATGCCTCCAAAAGCTGCAAGCAGGAGAGCAAACTGTTTATTTGTTTTACAGCAGTGGGTTATCTAGATTAGAACAAATATGGTTTGAAGAAGAATATTTGAGATAAAACAGATATTATTTGGAAATTATTACATGTATTTTTTTTCCATCAAATGTTGAATTTAGGATTTTACAACGCCCTCGAGTTACTTGAAACGTTCAAATCACAAGTCATAAAACAATCCAACACAGTTACCACTGGAATCTAATTGTACAAATAGTGAAATAATAATATAAATGTAGCCCAGTCTTAATCTGCAACTGTGCAGAAATACCGAGGTTAGACCGAATAAATAGAGAATAATTAATAAAGACAAAAAGCCACGCAGCATTTGAATGTGGATTTAGGTTTCAAATGTCAACGTTAGGAATTAGGCTTCAATATTTATTTAAAAGACCAGCCTGTGACAGAGGATTAGAGGCAGTAGTCATGTCCATTTACTGTCATTGCATACACTTTGATACAACTCAAAAATTAGGATAAACAGAGAAAAACAAAAGAAATACAAACAGCAAAATTCTCATCCCATCACCTGAAATTATTATACAAACAAAATAAAAAAGCTTCTAAATCAAAGCAGCTGCAATTTTTCTTGAACATTAAATACAATTATTAGCTTTACACACCCAGCTCAACTGTTACTTAGGTTGGCACATTGATACACAAACGGCAATAAACTCAAAAGGTAAGAAAAGCTGATGAAATCTGTATGACGTCCTGCTTTTGGTTCATCTCCTACAAATGATATCACAAGATCTTCAAAAGATGGAAATATTAATATATTTACATTTTCAAATGAGCTCAATATTTAGATTATTATTAGATTTTGGATCAGTTTTATGGTGTTAATGCTCTGTCTTCAGTCTCTCAGCACAAGAACAATAAAGTTAAAGATGTTGACTTTTGCTTAAAATATCAATAACACGTTCTCCTCCCTTCCATCTAAAAACATATTGAAGGATGGAGGAGGTCTGCTGATATTTTAAGTGTTTCTATTGTTAACAAATCCCATAAAAAGATCCAAACCATCAATGAAGACATTGAGTTGAGAGCCACTATCAAAGTAATGAAAGAAGACTAACATGTTGGTTGTGTTTTTTGGGATACAGAGTTTAAATAATCTGTTTAATAAACAAATCTGTTAATAAAGACACCACTGATGTTTTATTCTTAACTGAGTATTAGCTATGATTGAACAGACTTTACCGTGCCATATTTGACTTTGAATGGTACCATATCATGATGCAGACTTGATGCACAGATTGTGGAAAATCACATATTCTGTCAATTCTAAAATGGTTGCGATTATATTACCAAATTAAAATCATACTCTTGCATAATTTCCAGCCGTTTGGGATTGACTTTGGTACCTCATGTGAAGTCTTATTTAATAATTAAACACAGAGTTTAGACACATTACAATTTGTTAACATAAGAACACAAACAAATGTGTTCTGTTATTGGGAAATTCAAGACACCTTTTTCCCTTTTTAACATTAGACCTGCAGATTCTTTGGGAGGAGCTGAGCATTTGGTGTCCTGAGCTACGTGACACTGAACACACTTTCCTAATTTCCACCAGACTGAAATGAAATAGCCCAAGCACTTCTCTGCAACTTCAACATATAGAAGTAAAAGAAAATACAGCGTGCAGACACACAAACGGACAAACCCAACATATCCTATGTCAAAAACCAAAGAAATGTGACACAAAACTACATGTTTTTAGAAAATGACAATAGAAATTAAAACTAGTAGAAATATTGAGCGTAATCATCAGTTTACTTAACAGTACTATGGCAGCGAGCGAGGGGAGGAGATAACTTGTATTAACTACAGAGCAGGTAGCACTTCACATTAGCATTATTTCAGTGTGAAAACACTTTAAAGAGATAGTTTGAAAGTAGGGTTGTTTGAGGGATTTATCAATATTGAGTGTATAACTTAGAGAAGATGGCGTATGGTACACTACCAGTTTGCGAAAGAAACAGAAGAACCGGCAGGAAGATAAGCTAAGGACTGCAGGGGCAGCTAGCCACCTTAATACATCAATACCAGTTTAAGCGTAAGGAAACACGTCTGTCAGAAAGTGCGGTGAGGTCATTTGACCTCACACGGCAAGAAGGTTGATGGTCTAATGCTGCCTTGATCAGTTGGGTTGTTTGTGATATTGTGTGACTTTGGTGAATCTGAATCAACCCTTAGAAACACCATAGTCACAAAATAACACAAACAACTAACTGATCGGGCGGCGGTAAATCAGCAACTCCTGTGTTCTTCAAAGTAAATGTTTTAGCAAAATGACTTCAGTTTCCTGTAAGAAAGAGGTGTCTGACAGCAGGATAGAGTTGTGCAAATATTCTAGATATAGCATACACTCAGGCTGATATTGATTTTTTTCGAAATTGTCCAAATGTTTATATTGTATTCATATGTTTGGCTGCTGCAATTTATGTTTCTTTCACCAAACTGGGGGCTTAACATCCGCAGTAGGTTCTACACTGATCTCTGGTAAGTACTTCATACAACCCCACCTTAAACAAAAAAGACGAACTCTCTCTTAAAGGAGCACATACTGTTATGTTACATTGGCGTAACACTGGGATAAAACACAAGTAAGTGTTTCCCTGCTCGACCTCTTCCACACGTTGGACTCAGGGACGGTCTTTCACCAAACAGCCTCTGGCTTCTCGCCCTCGAACACACCAGTGCCTTGTTCGTTTTTGAAAAAGCAGCAAATCGGTCAACTTCTGGAAAACGTTTCAACATACAGACGGGTTTAATTTGTACCCTTTGTCTGCTGCTTTAAAATGATTACTTCTTCTACAGAAGAGTGAAACCTCCACCAGTAACAGATGTTGTGTCTCTACCTGCTGCTTATTTACAATAAAAGGACAATGGGGTTAAATACAAGCTCTGATGCACACCGCTCATACTTCTCAGGAGCTAAAGGTTGTTTGTTGGACAAGACCAAGTTCATGTAGGTTCTCCTTTTCCTCTTCTTCTCCGCTGGTTGGGTTTGAGGCCGCTAGCATGCGGCTGCTATCTGAGCCTCACTGCGAGGATCCTGGAGGTCCTCACACGTTGGGGCAGCATCTGTTCTGGAAGAGCTGGTCCACCACCGAGGAGTCGGCCAGCGTGGAGATGTCGCCAAGGTCTCGTTCGTCACAAGCGATTTTGCGAAGCACCCGTCGCATGATCTTACCTGCAGAGAGGCAGAGAGGATGTATTTGTTTATGTAAAGCTGACTTAGAGCTTTATACTCTTTTTTTTGTTTGTTGACATTGGCTTTGTTCATTTGAAACCAAGACAATTTAGTTTTTTTTTTCAGTTGAAACTTTGCTTCAGAACCCAGAACCTTAAGGACAAAATGTCATTGAAACTCATTAAAACTACAATGTTCAATCCCACTGCCATCACAGCATGAAATCCCCTTTATATTATATCAGGCTCTCAATCTGGAGCCCTGGTTTCCACATTTTAGTTGTAGATTGATTTCATTTCATCATGGTTGCTAAATAGAGCAAATACATGCCATTTTCTTTTGGTTTTCTTGCACATAATAAAATACAGATTACATGTCACTGATACTGCGGCATTATGTAACCAAACTGGCATTTAAAAAGGTTAAAATCCGAAAATGAATGAATATTTGAAGGAAAAAAACTGGATAATGTTAATCTACAATATATAATCAAATAAATAAAGTCATTTTCTACGCTGTGATATTTTCGAACCAAGTTCTAGTCACATATGTTGTGTTTGAGGGACATTTTGGAGCCAATATCTCAAATATAAAAACCACAGAAAACTAAAACCCCTTACGGCAAGCAGGAAGTGAAAAGGAGAGTTTTTTTTACAACTTGAAATAACTCATCCTTTAAAACAGTAATGCAACAAGGGTTTAGTTGCATCTCAAAATATACTAGTGTTTTTCAGCAGTCAGGTTTTGCTCTGAATTTCCTCCTCTATGAGTTCAGCTAACAGCTAACTTTATTCTGACAATTACTCAACCAGCTCTGTGTAACTTTGGTAAATACCTGATCGGGTCTTGGGGAGGCCTGGAGCATTCTGGATGAAGTCTGGTGTAGCGATGGCACCGATCTTCTCCCGCACTGCGAACACAAAAGACAAAATCACATCAGATTTGGACTATCAATAGTGAGTAGAGAAAAAAATGCATAAAAAGAAAGATATCTCAGGCAGAACTAAATAAAAAAATAGATAGCGCCCTCTGCTGTTCATAAAAAAGCTACAATGATTATGTTTTATTTGACTGTTTTTATATGTTTGCATTGCTATTGAACTGCCTCAATAAATAGTTACATTCCTATCAGATCTTTCTGCCTGACGAGGATCCATCCATCCATCCATCTTCTCCCGCTTATCCGTGGTCGGGTCGCGGGGGTAGCAGTTCCAGCAGAGAGCCCCAAACTTTATTTTCCCTGGCCACATCAACCAGCTCTGACTGGGGGATCCCAAGGCGCTCCCCCAGCGAAGAGATATAATCCCTCCACCTGGTCCTAGGTCTACCCCTTGGTCTACCCCTTGGTCTACCCCTTGGTCTACCCCAGCTGGACGTGCCTGGAACACCTCCCTAGGGAGGCGCCCAGGTGGCATCCTAACTAGGTGCCCGTACCACCTCAACTGGCTCCTTTCGACGCGAAGGAGGAGTGGTTCATCTCCGAGTCCCTCCTGGATGACCGAACTTCTCACCTTATCCCTAAGGGAGACACCAGCCACCCTGCGGAGAAAACCCATCTCGGCCGCTTGTATCCGCAATCTCGTTCTTTCGGTCATGACCCATCCTTCATCACCATAGGTCAAAAAAACGTGTATGCACCTTTCCCTGACCAGGTTGTGTTTACCGACCTTGTCTTTTGAGGTCGGCCTCCAGCGTGCGGTTGAAGGTCAGTCCATCAGTCAGAGTTACGAAGCAGTAGAGGCTTTCTCCTTTCACAGGATGAGGTCTGCCCACCACCGCAGCCTCGGCAACGGCCTCGTGCTCCACCAGAGCCGACTCCACCTCCGCTGTACTCAATAAGTGACCTTCAGGGAAAGAGAGGAGGAAAGGGAGGTCAGTGTGCGAAAACACACGTCCCACCGTCCGCGGACGTGTTATTTACAATATCGACAAGTAGATCTTTCAATTGACTTGTTCCGGCGGACAAGTGACGTTTTTCGGCCTGATTATTGACAATTATTGATACATTCAGTTTACAAAAGGCCAGAACTCATTCGCAAATTGTACGTGGTCAGCCATTGTTCGTTTAGAAGTGTTAGTTTTGGTTCTGCTGTCGTTCCTAAGGAAATGCATATCGCCGCTTTCTGTTACTGTTAGACGGGGCGGGGCGGAGCGTGGTGAGAAGTGTAGCACTATGGCAAGGTTGGGAAGCAAAAATCGGTTCCGAGTAGGAAAAAAATAACCAATTTGTCCGGTACGGGGATTAATAAGAGGTGTGAGGCACAGGAGGGGCGAGGCCGGGAGCCCCGAGCCCCCGCGGACTGCAGCTCTCCCTCTCTATGCTCCGTATCAGCTGATCGCTGCATGGTGTGCGAGCCGTGCAGCTCAGCGTCTCTCTCCTCCTCTTTTCTACACAAGCGGATCCGCTGCCCCCCCGTTAACAGCCTCATCTTTGTCAAACTTTCTTATGTTCTTTCTCTACCACATAATGAAGGTTATTTAAGCCGTTTTAACTCTTATGTTGTTTAATTATTGACCACCATTGCCTTTATGAAGTAAAGCAAGCGTCTTTGAGTTGTAGAAAAGCGCTAGGCCTTAGGCTATACATCTAATGTGTCATTATTATTATTAGATTAGGTTATGTCCTATGTGTTGGACATGTGTGGTTGGACTCTGTCTCACAGGCAGGTTGCAGTGTAACATCAGAGGAGACTGGGCCAATTGTACATTCTCAAACTGCACACTTAGAACCTAACTAAACAATGCAGAGATTATTTTTATATAATTGTATTCAATAACCGTAAGAAATTCAACAGTATGAAGAGTGATTTGTAAATAGGAATACAGATTTGACTTAATGTTTTCATAAATATATTTTTCTCCCAGTTTGACTTATTTTTACCCTCTCAAAGAACCGGAATCGAGAACCAAAAATAACCCGAATCGAAAAGCAGAACCGGATCGTTAAAATCAAACGATATCCAACCCTATGTGTGATGCCAGTAAAATCTTACCGCTCACTTACGTTAGCGGTGTCGTAAAAACCGTGGGGAAAATGTAAAATACGATGACGACGAAGAAGATTCCAGTGGCCCCAATTTTTGTCCATTCTGGACAAGTGAAAAATGTATTCGGACAAGTAAATTGCCAAACTCACTTTCCATGGACAAGTACTCTCTAAAAACTTTTCTCACACTGGAGGTGTTTAATGAATCTTGGCTTTTAGATATTCCCCATTTATCACAGAGGGCTCAGCGGTCGGTCTTACCGGAGACATTCAGCATGTCGTCTATCCTCCCTGTAATCCAATAGTATCCATCCTCATCTCTACGGCAACCTGTAACGGATGAATAATAAAATAATTTAAAATAAAAAATGCAAGAAAAAAAGATATAAAAATGAAATAAAGAACAAAATATATTAAAAGTAGGTCTTATCTCTCACCGTCTCCTGTGACGTAGTATCCCGGAAACTTCTTGAAGTACACGGTTTCAAACCTCTGCTTGTTCCCGTACACCGTCCTCATCACACCGGGCCACGGCTGTTTGAACACCTGTTTGAAAGCAGAGGGAGCAGAAACCGATCAAAACACATGACCAGTGAATACATCAAACATCATTAACATGTGGTGGTGATGATGATGATGATGATGCTCACCAGGTACCCTTCGCTCGGTCCCTCCAGCTCCTCTCCAGACTCATTCAAGATGGCCGGAACCACTCCGAAGAACGGGAATGTCTGGAGGACAGAAGTGATGGTGAATAAAAGTGGATTGGATTTGTGTTTAATTACCTCCACCAAGGAGTTTATATTTGTAGCTTAGTCTGTCTGTCAGCAGGATTAATGATAGGTGCCTGGTACAATTGTCGTTAAACTTGGTGTTATAATACACGTATGATAACATTGTGTAAATAATCAAATGCCTCTTAAATCATTTCTGATTCTATACACTTTCATTGTCTTAAATGTTTTTTCTATCACTTCTTTCTTCTTCTTTCGTGTCTTTTATTTTCCAATAGCATTCATGCAACATTGTTAAACATGTTGAACATTTATTTAATTCAATCATTCACAGTTTGTTCTAATCCATTTGAAAGTGTTAAAGCACAACTGTGTTATATTTTATTTACTCACAGCAGATCCAGGTTTCATGGGTGTGGCTGCAGGTAGAGGAGTCAACACATGTCCACCCTGAAAGGCCAGAAAACATCCAGTTAGAAAAGTGTTTTATCCCACAGCGTGTGAATAACCTGTGATTCCAGCAGAGGGCAGTCACACTCTGCAACTACTGAATAATATTAATAATAATACATTTAATTTGAATAGTGGCTTTCTAAGTGATCACACACTTCAAACAAGCATGCATACAAATATGATAACAAAAGATGCAATAAAATAAATAAGAAAAACAAAATGCAGAATAAATATTGTATTTTAAATTGTCAAGACTGTAGAGAAGGCCATCCTTTCCTACCCATTTAACATTGATGAATGTAAGACATACTGGATGCCACTTAGTGGATATGTAATATTATAACTTACAGTTTCTGTCTGCCAGAAAGTGTCCACGATGGGACATCTCTTCTCTCCCACCACGTTGTAGTACCACTGCCAGGCCTCGGGGTTGATCGGCTCTCCCACCGTCCCCAACACTTTCAGAGATTCCCGCTTATACCTGCAGAGAGAGCGTCACTTACCACAGAAACCATTCGAACGGCTCCCTTGCGTGACCAATAACATGTTAGATTATGATGGTCTGAGGCGACTCACTTGTGCACCGGCTCTTTGCCGTACTTCATCAGCAGCCTGATGGCGGTGGGAGCCGTGTAGAACTTGGAAACATGATATTTGTCCACAATCTCCCACATACGGCTCACATCTGGGTAAGTAGGCAGGCCCTCGAACTGAAACACACATAACAAATCGTAATTATATAAGAACTTAAACAACTGAAAGAGATTTGAAACAGGAGGAAATTATATAATTAATAAAATAAGAAGTATATCTATAAATAATTGTATTTTAAGGACAAAGAGTATCGTATGCTGTACAACTTGTTAAGACCCCTGAGGGAAACATTTTAAAAGACAGTGACAAATGTCATTAAAACTAAAAAGCGTTTTCCACCTGTAAGGCTTTTATTGTCATCTATGCAAAATCCTATAAATAAAAATCATATTTAAATGAAGCTTTCTTTAGTTGCAGATAGAATCAGCCACCAGGAAGTGGAGTAATGGCAGCGGCCCTCACTCACCAGGACGCTGGTGGCCCCGTTGGCCAGCGGGCCGTAGGTGATGTAGGAGTGTCCGGTGATCCAGCCGATGTCTGCCGTGCACCAGTACACGTCGTCGGGCTGGTGGTCGAACACCAGTTTGAAGGTGGTGGCGGTGTAGAGCATGTAGCCGCTGATGGTGTGGAGCACTCCCTGCAGGCGAGAGGAGCGTTGGGAAGGATTTGACGCAGTGGATGATTTAAAAACATTGTGATTTAAAAGAGAAAAAAGCATATTTTTGTTGCGTGATGGAATAAAATGATAGATATTTATATTTGTTGCTGGAGAATGAAAAATGTGTATTGCTTCAAATTATGTTATATGTATATTTTATCCCATTATTTTTACTTATTATTTAATAACTTCAAACCTCTTTAAGGTTTAAACATATTTAATGATATTTAATTGTTGAAGGGTGTCTAAGATCTACGACAGCTCGCTTCAGTTTTTACATTTACATTTTAACAGTGTATCTGTACGGATGAGTGCTGTGCAGTGTGCAGTGTGCAGTGTGCAGTGTGCAGTGTGCAGTGTGCAGTGTGCAGTGTGCAGTGTGCAGTGTGCAGTGTGCAGTGTGCAGTGTGTGTCTACTCTACCTTGGGTTTGCCGGTTGAGCCGCTGGTGTAGAGGATGAAGAGAGGATCTTCAGAGTTGCACCACTCTGGTTCGCACTCGTCTGAAGCTCCACGTACCAGAGCGTGCCAACACAAGTCCACCTTGGGGTTCCATGGGACCTGCAATCAAACACACACAGAAACGTGCACAGACAGGACAAGTGAATACAATATTCATGATCCTGTCATCAGGTAATTTACATTGAAATGACAGATGTTTGTATATGCTAAAATCAAAGGGAAAGAAAGTTAGTTTGACAAACTAGTTAGGAGAGGAGTGCAAAACATGAAATCTGTAAATCTCAGTTACTGTGAAGCAATCAATTAAGTGCATTATGGAAACAAACGAATGTCCTTTTTTTCCAAATGATTTCCTTTCTGAAAATCAGAGCTGAATAACTTACCATCTGATATAAAATAAGATCTCAAATATAAGGTAAATATAAGACCGAAGGAAAGATAACAGATAAGCGATAAATCAAGATAAGGAAAAACAGATGTATGTTGGTAGCTCTGAGGAGAACATGAACACTACAGGGGAAATGCATCTGGTTAATTGAATTAAACTGAGCTTAACGTGTTTTGGATTAATCTCATTCGCCTTCATTCTGCCACAAAGAATCAAGTTAGCCTCTGTTGACGAGTGAATCGATCCTGATCCGTCCCAGTCAAACCCACAACTCACACAGTATTACACAAAAAGCGGTTTAGATTAAGATTAGTAAGAACATCACAACAATCTTCAGAGACAGCAGGTCATTGGGCTGTGTCAAAGTAAGTAGAAAGTGTAAAACTGCAACACAAAGGGTGATGTTCACAACAAAGAGAGAAAACAGTGTTATATACCAATTCAACAGACGGCCCAGAAAACATCTGAAATTATCGTATCATTTCATTTAAGTGCAATTTTCCGGTCTTATTCAGATTTTCCAAGCAGATTTTTTCCTATAAAAGTTTACTGACACAAAAAAAAATGTTTTGTCTTAATATCAGCGGATATCAGAAAGAACATTTTCATCACAATTACATTTGTTTGTAAACCAGGAGGGGAATAATGATACATTTTGATGTTCACAAATGTACTCTGAACCGTCACAATCACATCATTAAAACTGCTGTTGCTGGGTAAAAACAATAAGCAATAATAATGTCTTCAATTATATCAGATTCAAAAGAAAAATATTATATGTATCATAGAGAAGCAATAGATTAAAATGCCAATAATTTATGAAGCCAACAAAAAATGTACTTGAGTAAGATTTTTCTTTCTTCGTTTATTGCTTTCACTCTGCAGCAGCAATATGACAGGTCTACTTGTGGGACAAATATTCTTCTAAAAAGCCAAAAGAAGAAAGGGTGTTACGGGGGTTTAGTGGAGGGAGGAGGGAATGAAAATACCTGCGGAACAGGACGAGTTTTCTTTACCCTCCCTGTCCTGTTTCTTCTGCTGGGCGGAGGAAAGGAAAGGAGGGAGAGCAGGAGGAGGAGGAAGGAGAAGTTAATGAGAGAGAGTGGTTATTAAAAACAAATTAAAAAAACACAAAATTAAAAGAAAAACCAGGGTCCATAACGTCACCAAAAGTTGATATGGAGAGAGGATTTGGGAGCTTTTCAAGTTTAAAACAATTGTAGTTTTTGAAAAAAAGACCCAAACCACAAAACCAGTTATAGAGAAGTCAGTAAAAGTCTTTATAGGTGTCTTACTTTGTTAATATAATGGATGTAAGGATTACAATTAGAAAGACTGTTTAAAATGATAAATCTAATTTATCTACTTTTGCTGCTTGAAAGTGTAGTATTTAACCAAACAATCAGGTTGTATTGTAGTGGTAGTGTAGTTTAAATGTAGTTTGTTCTTACACCATCAGCAGGGGAAATTGATTACATTTCTTTTATTTCTCATTTAAAAAAAAGGATTATGCAAAATTATTTGCAAACCGTGATGTCCAAAAGAAACACTTGTGTCCAAACGACCCGTGTTATTTTCAGCTTTTAGTGAGATTTATTGACAAGTTAGAAAAATACAGAATACCACCACCCGTTTTCTTAAAAAAATACTGAGAAATGTAATTAGTGTGGTATTATTCACAAGTTAGTCAAATTGACCCCTTTTAAGTTTTCTGCCAAAAAAGGGAGTAGCAAAGCAATTATGTTTTCTTAGGGAAATGTGAAACTTAAAATTAAAATATAAACACATAAAAGGACACACCATGATGGGACTGCATGATATGATAAGACAGTATGACCGTAGAGGATCGATCTAGCGCTGCAGGAACTCTTTGGCCCGGTCTGGAACGGCCCGGTTTGGGTTTTCATCTTTTAGTTTATGGTTTAGTTTATGGTTTACCTGCAGATCAGGACAGGAGCGTTTGGCAGGAGGAGACTGAGAGCCCAGAGGAGTCTCTTCTGCTTCTTTAGACAAGTGCTTCAACATTATACACTTCTGTATAGGGAAACCCCTGTGCACACAAACACACACACACAGAGACTTAGTTTAGATCATCACCACGTCATACACACTGAGCATAACAGACATGTTTCTCTGAATGCGCTGTATGCTTAAAGATATTATTTGCAGCATTAACAATCATTATTAACCTTATAATACTAAAGTACTGTATACTATTATATTAATAGATATATGTGTGTGTGTGTGTGTGTATGTGTATGTGTATGTGTGTGTGTGTATGTGTGTGTGTGTGTGTGTGTGTGTGTGTGTGTGTGTGTGTGTGACATCTTACTTGGCTCTGCATTTCCTGCAGTGCTTCGTCAGCTATGAGCTTCAGGTTGATCAGCTTATCTCCTCGGTAGAAAACCATCTGAGCAAATGAGTTGGACAAAGAGAGAGTGACAGGTGATGAAGAGAGGGAGGAGGAAGAGAAGATAAAGAAATACATCTGGATTCAGACCAGATTGAGCAAGAAAGAACTGATAACGGCAGCTAACTTCGGGCGGGACTGGATATACAGTACGAGCAGGAGTTATGAACATAAGCTGCTGGAAGTGGAAGAAGTTAACTCATGGATTGTACTTCAGTGTACTACTTAGTTTGTTAAAAGTCCTGAATTCAAAATCTATATTAAAACTGCAATGTCATAAGAATCAAAATATACTTAAAGTACTAAAAGTAAAGAAGTCACCATGAAGAATTTCCATTTCAATAATGTGCATTCAATTATAAAGTGGAGCCTATCGATACATAAATGAAGTCTAAAGACGTCTTTTCTTAACATTTAATTACGCAACCTAATTTATGTATTGATTATATTTGATTGAAGTAACTTTAGCTCTCAAATAAAACAAAATACAATACTCGTCCCTGGATTGTAATGAAATAAAAGTATAAAGAAAGAGAAAATGTAATTTCTCACATTAAATACAAGTTCCTAAAAATTGTACTGAAGTAAATGCACTTTTTTTTCCCCATCAATGTCTGGAGGTAGCTTTTTTTTTTTAATGTAATACGTACACTATCTGATACTAAGTCTCTTTTAGGCTCACATCATTTGGTGCACAGGCATTGGTTACATTTCAATGTCATGCTTTTTAATGTTAAGCACTCGTGTTTTACAGCATGGGCCTCACCCCTCTGCAGTTTCAAAGGTAGTTGAGATAGTTCACTAAACTTTTACCATGGGTAGTAAAACTCAACGACACCCAGTGAAGAATAGAGCTGTTTTAACATCCACGCTCTAATTACGTTCTTAACAAGCTACTAAAACTCTCAGAGTACACATGCCGGTCAGAAGGAAAGGCCTCTGATCCAATTACACGACTTCTATGAATGAGTAATGTGTGAACTCCAACCAACTGCAGATTTACAGGATTAATCTACCCAGACTTTAATCCGGCTAATAAGACTTTGATTACTGGGCTCAGCGCAACAGCTCGTCTCAACTTATTCTGCATTTGCTTTCAGCTTCACTAAGGCGCGTTCAGGGACCTGAAACATTTTAACGCCATTTCAATTTCTCAGATGTTATCTCTCCTGTCATTTCACTTCTAAAGCTGCCGAGAGTGGAACTGAAGTTTATTTTCATTGCAAATGATATTGTATATAAATACATTGATTTTTAAAATGTCAGAACATTTTGAAAGACGTACATCCGAGTTTGTCAGCGTTCAAATAATGTTTTAAAATAGCTTGTTTTGTTAGTCCAAAACCAGAAGATATTTGCTGTACCAAAAAACAGAGATGCAGGAAATCTCCATGTTTGAGAGACTGAAAAAATGTCATGAAAAAAGAATAAGAATGGTTACAACCCCAATGACCCAGTAGTAATTTGATGATACATTTGTCGTTTTTTGATAAGGTAGCAGAATAGATCCACAACAATTTGCTTATCTATCCAGTGGTGTATTTTTTTCATTCCCTGTACCCCAAAAGGCCTTTCAGATATTCTGCCGTGTAGATTTGTTTTAGTGTTTTTAAAACCCACCTGCTGTGATGAGCAGCGAACACTCCGAGTCCAGGATCCTCTCACACAGAGACTCTGCTGAGAAACCTGCAAACTGGAAACAAAACCCCACACACACAGTGTTAAAGTATTACAAATACAAACTGTATCTTAAACCATAATTTACTATGTTAACATGTTTTTCTCTGCTAAGGAAAAATATGTTTTTATGCACTATTTATATTTGTTTAAAGGGTGTTGAAGGCATTTCATTTTGTGTGAAGTGGATCCAAATCAGGAAGCGGATACAAGGATTAGTATTTGTGTAAACTATCAGCTACCAATGGGATGTTTAAACGCTCTGATGCAACAAATATTCTTTGTAGCATCCATGTTGTTTCTCTACTGAGACTTGACTGTTCAAGAAGACAACAAAGTCAGTAGTACAACTTTTCCTTCTCTGGAAATAAGACCATCGAAGGAGCAAGTGAGCTCTCTGGGATATGTGCCCTCTTCTAAGTTGTATTTCTAACTCACTCACGATTAGGGATGGGTATCGTTAAGGTTTTAACGGTACTACTACTTTTATCGATACCGCTTATCGATCCGGCCTTTTAACGGTACTTTTATCGGTTCTTTTGGAGAAAAAAATACGGTAAAACTAACTAAACAAATTGTGAACAAAACTAACATTGCTTTTTATTTAAATTAAATACATAATATTTCACATCAAAAGAAACAACAACGTTTTAACAAATCGTATTAATAATGTGATGACAGAACTGTAAACAGAATAGCTGAAACTTTAACTAAATAAAGAGTAACTCAGTTACCTCTAATCTAATTGAGTTAACTCCGTGTGTTTGCTGCTAGCATACATAACACCTGACGTGGAAACGTTACTCGTGGACGGGGCTACAGAGCTACTAGAAAGACAGTCGAACCCGGTGCATTCCTCCTCCGTCTGAATGTGGAGCACTTTTGCTAAATGTTTAGACAAATTGCTCGTGTTACCGCCCTTACATGCTAAACTCTTATTGCACTTTTGGTAACGAGCATTCTCCACATCGAGATGGGTAAAGTTTAACCACCCCTCGGAGTGCGTTCTCTCCGCCATCTCCTCCGTGTTGTGTGTGTTGCTGCATGTAGCAGCTGCGTGTGTGTAAACTGTCCCCGCCCCCTCGCAAGCAGGCGGGGGAGAGAGATCTCTCGTCTGGATGGAAAGATCTAAAATAATCATAGACGCATTTTGCATATTAAAAACGGAGTTGGCGACACTAAAACTGCAATATAATGTTTGTGTAGCAATAACACATGACATATTTTTACATGTCTCCAGTACCGCTAAAAAAAGACCGATAACGTCGGAGCTTAATAACGGTACCACGGTCTTTAATAATTCAGCCCCGGGGCCCGTTTAATACCGGGGCTCGGTACCCATCCCTACCCACGATGGAGTGAACAGAAAATAACGGTCTTTTAAAACCTTGTGAAAATGTAAAGGGTGTTTAAGTCATTTCATTTAGTGTGAAGTGGATCCGAATAATGGAGCGGATACAAGCATTATCTTTGACTTTCATTAAATGTGAGATAGGTCTTTTGTGCTGCATTCATGTAGTGTTGGATTATTCTGCAATCTTGCTTCTCTAACTCACCACGATGGAGTGAACAGCTCCGATGCGGACGCAGGCCAACATGGCCATCACCAGCTCCACCACCATGGGCATGTAGATGGAGACACGGTCGCCCTTCTTCACTCCTACAGACACCAAGACGCAGTGCGATCAGGTCAAATACAACTGAAGTTTGCCTTAAGGGGCCAACAACTGTGGAGTAACCTTCCTTTTAGTATCAGACAGGCTTCTTAAGTGTCCTCTTTAAAAATGTATTTTATAAAAGTGTTTTTTATCAGAGGTTGTGTTTTCTTCTCTATTATTTTATTCCAAATATTTGTTCTCATTGTACTTTATCTAATTGTGATGTTTCTGTGATATGAATAGAGTTGTATTGAGTGTTATATTAAATAAAAGGAGCAATCCTGATTTGTTCTTAATAGTTTTTTATTTTACTTGTTTCTGTGAAGCACTTTGTAAACTCATTTTTTGAAAAGTGCTAAATAAATAAAGATTGTTATGATTATTAAATGCTGAATAAAAGGAGAAATCACATTTACTCCTGTTTTGCTAGAGGATCAGCAAAGTCTTCACAGCCCTATTTAATTACACAGTTGTATTTATAAATCCGGTAGATTTAACAGGTTGACGTACCCTGAGACTTCAGGACGTTGGCGAACTGGCAGACCCTCTGCAGCAGCTCTCTGTACGTCACCGTCAGCTCATCCCCCGGCTCGTTGCCATCCCTGAAAACACATCAAACATAAAGAGAAATGTGTGAGAAAAAACATCTTATTTTAACAAACAAAAGTAGTAAACTGACTGTTACTGCTGTACATGGAGGTGCATGGGTTTACAGCTCCTTCTTCATTCATATAATCAATCAATACTCAATTAAAAACACTATTGCCTAATCCTTTCTGACACTGGTTTTCTACTGCTAACATAATCCCACTCGTTAATCATCCCTAATTATAATGAATCTATATTCAATTCAAACTCCTTTTGCTAAAATGATGCCAATTTAAAACAATCATTATACATCATTGCATTCTTATACTCAATTTATACTCAGTTCAAGCCACTTTTGCTTATTCATTTCTTACAAAGGGTTTCTGATACATCCCAATTATTATAAGCAGGGATGCTCCGATCGATCTGTCCGCCGATCGATATCGGCCGATATTCACTCTCGGCCGATCGATCGGTGCTCTCTATAAAGGCCGATCGAGAGAGCCGATCACATGACGTAAAATACATGACACTTTTCTCTGTGCGCGGCAAAACAAGCTCTCCAAAATGGCTTCACCGGTCTGGCATTATTTTAAGGTGTCCGAAAATGACAATAAAATAGCGCTATGCAACGTGTGTGAAGCAGAAATCCTGCAACTCCGCCCGCTGTGACGGACCGGTGAGCAAAACACACAGACTTAGACCTAACACACTTAGCTATTTTATCTGCCTCTGGAACAAGCTAAACTAGTTAAATATATTTATTCTTCACTGTCGGGTCACTCATTACTGGATCAGCGAGCTGCATGAGATACTGACAGGCTGTCAGGAGAGGGAGGGGGAGAGGGGAGGGGGAGGGGGAGAGAGAGGGAGAGAGGAAAAGAGAGCGCTATCCGCTAATTTCTCCTGTGTTATTATCCAAAGTTAATGTAAACTTGAATAATTTACTTCATTTGAAAGTAATAATGATGTTGGTTTTTGTTTGTGGAAGCACCAGTGAATGAGCCCCATTAACTGAGTTGTAAACATCACTTTAAATGGAAGATCCCCATAGGCCCCGCCCACTCGATCGGTGATCGGTATCGGGCGATACTGATTCCGGCGATCGGCCCCAAAATTGGCGATAGGAGCATCCCTAATTATGAGTTACATGTTATGCTTAATCATTTCTTACGTCATACTGTATGTTTTACAAGCAGGGGGTGAAATCTCATCTCATTAGACAGAGATGTACATTATTATTGCTGTGTGTGTGTATATGATGCATATTACGTTTAACCAAATAACTAATGTTCCAGCATGGGAGGTGTACATATTTCGAAGCAGGTTTATCCAGCCGAGTCACCACTTTTTCTCAATTTAACCATCCATCCATCCATCTTCTCCACTTATCCGTGGTCGGGTCACGGGGGTAGCAGTTCCAGCAGAGAGCCCCAAACTTTCTTTTCCCTGGCGACATCAACCAGCTCTGACTGGGGGATCCCAAGGCGCTCCCAGGCCAGCGAAGAGATATAATCCCTCCACCTGGTCCTAGGTCTACCCCTTGGTCTCTTCCCAGCTGGACGTGCCTGGAACACTTCCCTAGGGAGGCGCCTAGGTGGCATCCTTACTAGGTGCCCCGAACCACCTCAACTGGCGCCTTTCGACGCGAAGGAGGAACGGTTCAACTCCGAGTCCCTCCCGGATGACTGAACTTCTCACCTTATCCCTAAGGGAGACACCAGCCACCCTGCGGAGAAAACCCATCTCGGCCGCTTGTATCCGCGATCTCGTTCTTTCGGTCATGACCCATCCTTCATGACCATAGGTGAGGGTAGGAACGAAAATGGCCCGGAAGACAGAGAGCTTTGCCTTCTGGCTCAGCTCCCTTTTCGTCACAACGGTGCGGTAAAGCGACTGCAGTACCGCTCCCGCTGCTCCGATTCTCCGGCCCATCTCACACTCCATTGTTCCCTCACTCAAGAACAAGACCCCGAGATACTTGAACTCCTTCACTTGGGGTAAGGACTCATTCCCTACTTGGAGTTTAAAGTCCATCGGTTTCCTGCTGAGAACCATGGCCTCAGATTTGGAGGTGCTGATCCTCATCCCAGCCGCTTCACACTCGGTTGCGAACCGATCCAGTGAGTGCTGAAGGTTGCAGACCGATGAAGCCATTAGAACCACATCATCTGCAAAAAGCAGTGGTGCAATCCTTAGTCCACCGAACTGGAGACCCCCTCCCCCATGACTATGCCTCAAAATCCTATCCATGTATATTACAAACAGGATTGGTGACAAAGCGCAGCCCTGGCGGAGGCCAACCCTCACCGGAAATGGGTCCGACTTACTGCCGAGGACCCGGACACAGCTCTCGCTTTGGGAGTACAGAGATTGGATGGCCCTGAGTAGAGACCCCCCTCACCCCATACTCCTGCAGCACCTCCCACAGTAACTCCCTGGGAACCCGGTCATATGCCTTCTCCAAGTCTACAAAACACATGTAGACCGGATAAGCGTACTCCCAGGCCCCCTCCAGGATCCTTGCGAGAGTAAAAAGCTGATCCGTCGTTCCACGACCAGGACGGAATCCGCATTGTTCCTCCTCAATCTGAGGTTCGACAATCGGCCCTGACCCTCCTTTCGAGTACCTTAGAGTCAACTTTCCCGGGGAGGCTGAGTAGTGTGATGCCTCTGTAATTGGCACACACCCTCTGATCCCCCTTTTTGAAAAGGGGAACCACCACCCCGGTCTGTCACTCCTTCGGTACTAAAATAAAGATCTAAAAACCGGAACTTTTATCACAGTCAGATTTTGATCAGCAGAACTTCAGCCCAGTTGTGAAAGATTTAAACTTTCCCCTTTTTCACAACACAGTTACACCCTGGGCGTTGAAGGAACACACACACACACACACACACACACACACACACACACACACACACACACACACACACACACACACACACACACACACACACACACACACACACACACACACACACACACACACACACACACACACACACACACACACACACACACACACACACACACACACACACACACACACACACACACACACACACACACACACACACACACACACACACACACTACACACACACACACACACAACACACACACACACACACACACACACACACACACACACACACACACACACACACACACACACACACACACACACACACACACACACACACACACACACACACACACACACACACAGCTGGACTAAGGCTTCTAGATGAATAGCATTGTCTCGAGAGCACAGAGAGATGAATGAGTTTGTGACAGCGCTGCCCTCTCCAGATTATTAAATTAAGCCGTGTCCTGAATCTCGTCTCTCGGAGTCACAGCTGAGTCTACAGAGACGAGACACACAGTTAGTGATGGAGAGGAGAGCTGGGACCCAACTCTGCACTATTATTACATTTATATTAATGAATCACGAATCACGATAATTAAATTCATCTCTACTTAAGCCTCTTATTGTCATACTGTTAACCCTTTACATTCTTGGATAGATCATTTATGCAAAACCAACAATACAGAACCTTTCGAATAAAAGCTTTTAATTAGACCAAATGAGTTTCATAGGGACGGGGTTCAACTCTGGAATATTGTCGTTATTAATTTATTGAACAATTAGAGCTAGAATAATGAATGGGTTAGGAAACATTAGGCTTCAGGAAAATAGGACTTTATTTCTTTTACATTTCAGATCAAACAGTTACTCAGTTAATTGAGGGAATAATCGTCAGTTGCAGCATCACTGCAGAAAATATGTTTTACAATTCATTTGTCAACCAAATAATAGTTTGAAAATATGTCTGGAAAAGATAACCATCTCAATGTGCGAGGCGACGTTGACAAATACTTATTTTGACAAAGACGTTGACAAAGTTTTAAGGCCTTTGTGTACAGTATAGTTTAACAAATGTCATTGTAGCCAGGTTTGAGGCAATGTACTTTACCATTTTGTGTTAACAGGAAAATGATGCAATAACATTTTCCGACTGACGTCAATCAACCTGCAACTTCTTTATCCCAATGCAAACTAAATGTCACAAATGTACTCCTTCAAGTCTGTCTGTTTTTTGCTTTAAAAGCTCTATTCCCCTTTTGCAATATAATGTGTAAGAGGGGACAACAAGTGCACATTTATAAAAACACACATATTATTTCACACATTTTCACTTTTGAATACTTTTCATATGAGATAGTAATGTGCCGTGGAACTCGGACACAGCTCAAGGAGTAAAAGTAAAAAACACCTGAGGGAAAAACATCCGTCAACAAGTAAGAGATGAGGAGAAGTAAATAAAAAAGACATGACCGAGAAATGAGAGAGCATTATGAAAGACTGTTTTTCTAGAGTGCAATCTTCGGAGGACTTTAAATCCACCATGGGGACAAAACTGTTGCAAATCTTGAGCAACATTATAAAATATGTAAGCATGAACACGCACGTTTATGAGCATTGAATACAAGCTTAAACACGTCACAAAAGGTTCCTTCCCTGAAGTTTAAATGTGTTCTCAGTCTACCAACATGTGTACATGGACCATAAAGTAGAACACATATACAAAGCTGCACAGTTTAAATCCCAGAAGGAAACCGAGCTGTTTTTGTGCAACTTGTTTGACATTAGAGTCACATAACTTTAATGAGCAGAGTAAAATCACTTTCAGATGTGTTGCGTTAAATCCAAAATGACTGTGTCACACTCGGTCTCTCTTTTTATTGCCCAACTGATTGAGGCTGATAAGACCAGCATTAAAAAGGAACACACACAAACATAAGCCCCGCCCTCCCCTGGCATCCAGCGTATGAAACTGTTGCAAAACAACCTCTTTAAGCAGCAGTGAGCAACTGATCCAGAAACACACTGCTGCCATCAGTGGAGTGTCTCAATAGTGGCACACACTGTTTCTTTAGGTTCTTCCAGTATAGTGTGTATATGTGTGTGTGGGGAGCTGGCAGAGCTGAAAGGTCTCTGTGACCCGCTTGGCACCGAGCGCTAATGGGAGTTCACAGAATGACTGATACTGTTTTAGAGCTCTGACATCGATAATCATTTACAATACGACATCTGAGCTGCAGTGTGTGTGTGTGTGTGTGTGTGTGTGTGTGTGTGTGTGTGTGTGTGTGTGTGTGTGTGTGTGTGTGTGTGTGTGTGTGTGTGTGTGTGTAATCAGGACACAATAAAGACAGCGGTTATATAGTTTAGACACTGACAGATATGTAAGAGATAACCAAATCAAATATATTAATGTTTTTTTTTTTTTTTACATACATACAATCCTGATAAGAACCCTTGTATAATCCCTCATGCCTCCGCTCATCAGAAGCCAACCTCCTATCCATCCCCACCCGCATCATTCACCGGACCTGGGGGGACAGAGCCTTCTCCGTCGCTGCCCCCTCCCTCTGGAACTCACTCCCACAACCCATCAGAGACTGCACTGACCTCTTCAATCTGGCTTTTAATGTGCGATTGTTTTTGTATTATTTGACTTTAACTATATATATTTATTTGTTGTTCTTTTCACTATATCTGTAAAGCGTATTTAAGCACCTGTAAAAGCGCTAACAAAATAAATCTATTATTATTATTATTAACAGGACAGAGTAAAATCATGTTGTCAGTGCTCTTTGGAGAAAAAACTCTGTACTGTATCTTCATTAACTCACACCTTTGTTTGTTTTCGCAGCTCATTGTAACGTATAGGCTGAAATGCAACTGCAGAGATATCTGACATTAGATGATATACATTGTTATATAAGTGTGGCAGATCAATTGGTTATACTAGAATACTAAAAACAACTAAAAACTTGTATTCGTGTTAGACTGTTGGTAAGACAAAACAAGCCAACTACTTTTTTAAAACACTTTATAAATAAATGAGTTGAGCATGCAGGAGAAACATGTTTTGCATGCTGGTAACAAACACTTCGCTGAAGGTCATCAGACAAGTTGGCCCGGCTATCCTTACTGCAAATGTTAAGAGCGATAATAGCACGTACACACGTTAATAAACACACACACACACGCCTATAAATAAACAATGACACACATCTTCAACACTGTGGGTTTGAATGTCAGGGACCGAGGAGGACAAAATGGTTCTTTAGTATGACGACATCACTTAAAACTAAAAAAGGCCAGCGTATCAAATGATAATAAACACATGAACATTTTAAAACTGCTTTCTTTTATATGTTCTTAATGGAACAAGTGACTTCTCGAGGTCAGGGTGAAAACAGTATCAGCGTTTAGTTTGAGTTAAAGTTAGTGGTGCACGATAATTAACGGCCCGATAATTATCGGTCCGATATTAGGAATTATGACGTCATCCCGATAAACCCGATAACAGTATTAATAGCCCCGATAATATACAATATATTTTTGGGGTAAAAAAAAGAAAAAAATACTGCGGTGTGGGTGGATTGGGATGAGGGGCGCTTGTTTTTCACTCGGCTCCTCCCGTTTTGCCAGTACTGTGGTATTAGTGGTTTAGGAAGAGGGGAGTTTTTCACAAATCCAGCGCTCCCTAACTGCCTGGCTGACGTAAATGGTGTGCGGCCGTGAAGCCAGGACAGTAAACAAACATGTCGCCGGTAGTATGGGACTATTTCAAAGTTTCAGAGTTAGATAGTTCGCTTGCTATTTGTATTAACAAATGCAATGCAGAAGTTCCACGAGGAGGGAAAAAGGCAACGAGCTATAATACTTCCAACCTGATTAGTGACCTGAAACATCGCCATCGCTACGATGGTGTGTTAAAAGCGTAGGAAGACGCCTGCGCTGCTAAACTAGCGGCAAATCCAAAGCCAGCTGCAAAGGCACCGGGGCTTTTACCTATCGACGAGGCTTTTGAAAAAGGCAAGAAGTTTGCCAGAGACGACCCCAGGGTTAGTTTTGTTCATAGTAGTAATGCTCATGTCATTTGTTCACTACTAGTCTTTTTTTTACCACCAGGTGTGCAAAAACTACAGGTACATTTAATATATATATATATATATATATATTATTATCGGTATCGGTCTTGAGAAGCAGGAAGTTATCGGTATCGGTTTCAAAAAACCAATATCGTGCATCCCTAGTTAAAGTGGCTTAGTTCATCATTTCATTCATAGTGATAAAACTAAATAAAGAACAACTCATTTTTATTCAAAGCCATAAATTGAACACTGAACGTCATGTGCTAAAACACATTTTGAATTTTTTGACCGAAATGTAAGAAGTCCCTTTATGGATAACTGGTTTTTACTCCAGTAGATATTTTAAGTTCTTCTCATTTTAACTCCTCAATATACTGTTGGTTAGTTTAATCTAATAGATGATCATATGTTTGTAGCTTTGTTCTGTGAGAACCAAAAATCTGTAAAAGAATCAGCTTTTCTCCAAAAGAATCCTTGTTTTCAGATTTTAAAAGATGCATTTTTTAGCTGATCTAAGAGGCTTTTATAAAGCTTAAGAAGTAGCAGATTAAATCCAAAAACAATATTGACAATCTGTTCATTGTTGTATTGTTCAAGCAAAATGCTAACATGAATGCAGGTGTTCTGCTTTTCCTTGTCAAATGTGTTAATAAATTAAATATTTGCTAAATGGCTAAAATAATCTGCAGTCAAATCTGAATAAGAATAACTGTTTGTTACAGAGGAAACATTTAGCAGATAGTATGATTAGTGGATCGGCAAAAAGATTGGCATAAGTTGGATTTAATCAATACAAGTCTACATTTACTGGTTTAGCTTTTGTTTGTTTGTGTAAAAAATGTCCCTTTTGCTCAGGGAAACTGTAGTCAAGATGTTACACTACAAGACATCTTACAGAGAAAATGACCTAATATTAATGAAAATAATGATAAGTTGCAGCACTGCTTTCAGAGATGGTCCTGCACATTAAAGTCAGCGAGGGCTCACATGTTCTGGTATCTCCGCTACATTTTAATCACACGTTCCCACTTTCCCCATCCTCTCCCTGGATGGCACCGCTTTAAAAAGCCTTGTGTGGCCTGACTGCATTCCTCCCTGTGGCCTCAGCATTCACATGAGGACACATCAGAGCCCGGAGGCAAGAGGCACAAAGAGGGAGAAGAGAGAGTGAAAGAAAATAAGTGATGCTGCAGAGCGAGAAGAGGAGCCTTTCAAGACAAACAGGAACACGTGCAGTGTTTCAGTAAAGAGGGTCAGCCAAGAGGAAGAGATGGAGAGGTTGTGTTGTGAACTTGTTGTGAACACACACACGCAAACACACACACACACACACTCACCAGTAGAAGGCCACTTTATCTCCGAGCTTCCTCTCGTGGACGTTGCGGTCGAGCAGATTGTAGCAGATGTTGGTTGAAGCTCCTTCCATGAACTTGGTGAATATTTCTCCTTTAGTCACATCGAAGTTGTATTCGAGGAACGGACCCGAGTGTTTGGTCTTCCAGAAGAAATCTTTAGCAATGTCGCCCCAAAACTCTGCAGGACGGGAGAAGACACAAAATAGTAAATATACGTCTTCATACTGGGCAAAAGAACGGTTTTGTGTTCTTGATAGCTATGGACTGACTCAGCATGTGACGGAGCCCACGCACAATAATTCAAAAATTCAAAAATGTTATAGATGCCATTGCTCCAACTAAGGTAAAGGAAGTGTCTGGCAAGAAAATATCTCCATGCAGAAAGGCCATGACCGTGAGAGCAGAAAAAAGAGAGTGTCCCAAAAGCTGAACGTAGGTGGCGAAAAACAAATCTCCAGGTTCACTTTGAAATCTATAAAGAGAGACTTGGCCTTTATAATTTGGAATTGAAAAACGCACGACAATCGTTCTTCTCTGACATCATTACCAAAAACAACGCACGTGCCTTGTTTGCTACCATCGACAGACTAACTAACCCCCCAGTGTCAGTAGCCTCTGAATTTCTATCCACCAGGGCGTGCAATGATTTTGCCTTCTTTTTCACTGACAAAATGCATCAGGAACAGCAAATGTGTTGTCAGATGTCCACTTAAAATCAATTCAGACATCATGACACAATTCCATCAGATTAATGATAAAAACCTAGAGGACATTATACAACTTCTGAAATCCTCCTCCTGCTGCCTTGATATTATTCCAACAGGATTTTTCAAAGACGTTTTTCCTTGCATGGCCTCAGATCTACTTCATATAGTAAACAAATCTCTTTACTCAGGTATTTTTCCACAGGCCCTGAAAACTGCAGTCATTAAACCGCTCTTAAAAAAGAATAATCTAGATGCTTCAGTAATGAACAATTACAGGCCCATATCAAACCTGCCATTTCTAGGTAAAATCATTGAAAAAGTTGTTTTTGAACAGTTGAGTCATTTCTTGCATTTAAATAACTGTTTCGATGTGTTCCAGTCAGGCTTTCGTCCAAACCACAGCACTGAGACTGCTCTTGTAAAGGTCTTTAATGACATCCACTTAAACACAGACAGTGGCAGAACTTCAGTGTTAGTATTATTAGATCTCAGTGCTGCGTTTGACACTGTTGACCACAACATATTACTAGACCGACTGGAAAACTGGGTGGGACTTTCGGAAATAGTTCTAAATTGGTTTGAATCCTACTTAAAGGACAGAAACAACTTTGTTTCTATAGGTAATACACATCTGAGTTGACAAATATGACATGTGGGGTTCCTCAAGGCTCCATCTTGGGGCCTCTTCTCTTTAATATCTACATGCTACCACTGGCTCAGATAATGAACAACAAAATAAGTTACCATAGCTATGCAGATGACACACAAATTTACGTAACAATTTCACCAGGAGACTATGCTCCAATTCAAACACTGAGTAAGTGCATTGAACAAATCAATGACTGGATGTGTCAGAACTTTCTCCAATTAAACAAAGATAAAACTGAGGTAATGGTTTTTGGAGCCAAGTCAGAACGTATAAAAGTTAGCGCTGAGCTTCAGTCTGCAATGTTCAAAACAACAGATAAAGCCAGAAATCTAGGTGTAGTCATGGACTCTGACCTGAGTTTCAACAGTCACATTAAAACAGTTACTAATCAGCCTACTATCACCTAAAGAATATATCTAGGATTAAAAGACTAATGTCACAGCAGGATTTAGAAAAACTTGTCCATGCTTTTATCTTCAGTAGACTCGACTACTGCAATGGTGTCTTCACAGGTCTCACTAAAAAATCTATTAGGAAGCTGCAGCTAATTCAGAACGCCGCTGCTCGAGTCCTCACTAACACTAAGAAAGTGGATCACATCACTCCTGTTCTGAAGTCTTTACACTGGCTTCCTGTGTGTCAAAGAATAGATTTCAAAATACTGCTGCTGGTTTATAAAGCTTTGAATGGTTTAGGCCCAAAATACATTTCTGACCTCCTGCTAAATTATGAACCATCCAGATCTCTCAGGTCTTCAGGAACTGGTCAGCTTTCTGTCCCCAGAGTCAGAACTAAACATGGAGAAGCAGCGTTCAGTTATTATGCTCCAAATATCTGGAACAAACTCCCAGAAACCTGCAGGTCCGCTGCAACTCTTACTACTTTTAAATCCAGGCTGAAGACTTTTCTTTTTGTCGCTGCTTTTAATTGAACTATTCATATCTTAGACTGCACTGAAACCTTTATTCATGTATTTTTTCTTTTAATGTTTCTTTTATTAGCTTTTCTTTTTAATGACTGATTTTAGATGCCATTTTCTTAATGTCTTTAATTTTTTGTAAAGCACTTTGAATTACCTTGTGTTGAAAAGTGCTATATAAATAAACTTGCCTTCATCTCAGATACATTTGTAAGTTACAGGTCTCACGTATCGTCTTATTTAATGCAATGCTTCAGATTTAGCAGGAAAGACAGTTATGTTGCAAATCACAGCTTGTATGTTGTTGGCCTGTGTGGCTCTTGCAGTCAGGCCACACATGTTGCAAGATGCATTTGGTTGAAAGAGGATTCGGATTGTGGCAACCACTTTTAGAATTTACTTAAAAAAGTCCAAAAACAACAACAGAGGTCCACCAAAAATCACCAGAACAAGGTGAAATTAATTGATTATGTGTTCAATTTAAAAACTACACCTCAAAATGATTTTCGTTATAACACAGATTGTTTCTCAGTTTATAAGTTAAGCAGTTTGTCTATGAATTGCAAGAAATGTTTGGAAAGTCAATTTCCTAAAGCTCTGAAATGTCTTGTTTTGAGCAATTACATTTAAAAGATGATTGTATTTGTTGCTTCTTTAAAAACCCAGGCCACTGTGGAAAGGACTGAGCTTTGCTACATTAGTGCTGCTCGTTTAACCAGTTGAGTTACCAAGGTGCTTCAAAGGTCATCATTTCAAACAGAAAGGCAGCAAACCTTCCCTTCAGGGAAAATGCAACCAGATAAAAGCTTTTGAAAGACTGAGTGTTTCACTGAACCACCAGCAGAGCTCATGAAGAGCTAAATACAATATTTATTTCAGCATTCAACAAAAACAAAACCTGCCAACATATGTGTTTGCAACTCAAGGTGGTTAATAATCATCTCACTGTAACTTGTCCCACTTGTTGAAGTTCCTTTTGCGAAACGTTTATGGGCTAGCCTTCTCTGTATATCATTAACATAGATAAGGCATGATAACCCAGCATGGTTATTTCATCATGGCACAGCTATGGAGAATGCAATAACGGTTGTTTATAAACTCCTGAGCCCAGAGCCAGAGATCAGATTCCACCTGCAGGAAAAACTTGTGTAATGTCTCTTACATACTTTACACATAGACTCCACTTCACAAGGAAATGAAATTAGCTAGTGTTTGATTAACAATAACTGCACAGATATGGAATCTGGTCTGGTAAGTTCAGCAGAGACATGTCCCGCCCAAAGGACCAGAAAACCCTGACATAATCCAGCCGTACACGTTTGTCTGCAGGAAAACAATGAATGAATATTTTGACAAGCCATACTTATAGGTTTTCAGGGCTTAAAATGTAAGTTATTTTTGATTTAATGATTATTATTATGTTGATTTTACTCCTGAATTGTTGTTTTTTTCCATAACATGTCAACATGTAACATCGACAAAAGTGGCCGGAATAGAGATATCTTCAATTGGATTTTTTTACACTGTTAATTTAGGGCTGAGCCTGAGGGCTTGGCACAACCCCTAAAATAATAATATTCTGAAATGCAGCTTTAAGTCACAGTCTGAGTAAAGTCTGAATAACTTGAATGCCTTTTCCTCGGCTGAAAAAACACTGTGGAGGGTTTCTGCTCTGTATACTTTAGGGCAGGGGTGTCAAACTCAAGGCCCGGGGGCCAAATCCGGCCCGCGAATTAATTCAATGTGGCCCGCAAGAGCATGCAAAGAATATAATACGTTTATTATACGGTTACACGCCACTTTACAGGAGCACGTTGCCCATAAACTACATGTCCCACAATGCATCTTGTTTTGTGACATGCGCACTGAAGAGACTTGCAATTATTTGCCCTGGACTTCTGCTTTCAGACGTAGTTAATTATGAAGTTATTACCCTATCCGATAATAATCCAATGCACAGGAAGTTATGTATTATAATACATTATTTTATATATATATATATATATACACAGGGCTGCACATAACTGGTGCGCATGCGCACCTCGGCCAAAAAAAGAGCACCGGGTCATTTGAAAAAAGGCGCATTTGCGTACCAACATTGAGAGAGAGAGAGAGAGAGAGAGAGAGAGAGAGAGAGAGAGCGAGAGCGAGAGCGAGAGCGAGAGCGAGAGCGAGAGCGAGAGAGAGAGAGAGAGAGAGAGAGAGAGAGAGAGAGAGAGAGACATATGAACTCAGGGCCGGCCCGTAGCGCTGGCGTTGATTTTCGCCTAGGGCGCCAGATCTGTGGAGGCGCTGCGCTGGCAGCTCTGGGAGGGAAAAAAACATTTTTGACCGTTGGTGCTCATCCTAATTTTCGGCCTTGATGTAACAACATTATAATTAAGTAAATGTAACACCCTTTTCACCCCGGTTACACTTTTCATTTGCCCTGTACGATGGGCGCTGTAAGTGATGAAAATGGGGGATGTTGGCTTATCTGGCGCCCGCAGCTCACAGCCAAAATGCGAATGAGCGAGGGAGAGAGCGAGGGAGAGAGCTGTTGTTATTAGCATCTGGTGCTAGCTGCTCTAACGGAAGAAGAAGATGTTTCTACAATGATGTGGAGGGAGAGTCCTCTCCAGTCAGACTGAGAGGCTGATAACTACAGCTCAGTGAGGTAAAGGACTCTGAGTGTTTAGATAGTTAACTTTAGTCTAAGTTCAAACGGTTTGGTCACAATTTATGTAAACACATATTTTCCACTCCTTTATAATTATTGGGATAAACAGGTTTGAAATAATTCCAATGTATACTATAGGACAGTAACCAAACATATCCTTTTAAAACTGGACTTTCGACCCAAAACCAGCTGTTGACTTGTGGATGCAAGCAGCTAATCGCAGACTCAACCAGAGAGGAAGAAGTAGGCCTACATCATCAGCTACCATGTCTGACAGAGAGGAAGACAGTGAGGAGAACAGTGAGGAGGGTAGTGATGACAGCTTGTAGGATTACTGCTCGTGCTAATGTTGTCTTGTGTTCACCTCTGCCTGTGTGTTCTGTGTTCACCTCTGCATGTGTGTTCTGTGTTCACCTCTGTGTGTTCTGTGTTCACCTCTGTGTGTTCTGTGTTCACCTCTGCATGTGTGTTCTGTGTTCACCTCTGTGTGTTCTGTGCCGTGTGTCTGACAAATAAAGACCGGTTTATTTATTTCAATTTAAAGATGAGCACCAAGCAACATCTCCAGGTGCTCCTTTGAGAACCAGGGCAAACAAGTTATGTGCACCCCTGGTTATAAAGTCACAACCGGCCCTTTGAGTGCAACCATAATGCTGATGTGGCCCGCGATTAAATTGAGTTTGACACCCCTGCTTTAGGGGTTAGGGCACCTCTGACATAGACCTATTATATTTTTAAATCAAATACATAAGACTTATGAAAAACGGCTCATTTCAGAACACTGTATTATATTATTGATTATAGTTATCCTGGATAACAATTAAGTCTTAGTTATTTATCTACAAATTATCTTGTATTGGTGTAGTTGATTAGTTTGTATCAGTCTAATAGTTAATAAATGTATCAACAACATTTTGTGCAGAAAAATAAAATAGTTTGTTAACAACAATGTGACAATACTGTTTTAAAAAATCTTATTCCAAAGCCTGATTATTCTTAAGAATTACAACGTAATATCTCTTTTAAAATATGTAGTTTGTTATTATACTATCATCAAATCAAAGGCATACAATGTTCTTAAAATGACAATAATATAGTTAAATTATAATTATTTCAGGGCCAATAAATCAAAAATAAGTACTTATCGTGGATACAGTAAATCGGAGCAGAAAATATAGGATAATCCAGTAAAGTAAAAATATCTCAATTCTAAGTACAGTAAAGGTACTTTTACCACTTTAACAACTTAATTACATTATGACAGCATTGACTTACCATCAGGATTCTCTATGGACTTTAAGTAGAGCTCCTTATATTTCTCAAAGCTGGGGATGTGAGCTTCCTTCTTCAGCTCCTCAGACCCGTGGAAGACGTCTTCCTTCGGCACTTTTTCGGGAATCATCTCTGAAACGCTTGTTTGATACTTTTCCACGTTGGCTCTAGCACGCTTGCAGCCCAGCTTCGTTTGAATGTCAATCGATATATTGACTGCACGCACAGACGCTGTCACAGATAATCAATATCAGCAATGCAGGACGGGAGAGCAGGAGCTGCAGGAGCGAGCAGCACAATGAAGCAATGCAGCTGCATCAAAGTTCATTCAGACTTCCTTGTTTTGCAGGATGTTTCCTTGTTGATTTCCGTAATACTTTACGTGCAAAAGCCGCGTTTGGACACAACACGTGCAGCTGCAGTTGTGAAGCAAAGTCCGGATTAGTTTGCGTGCAGCTCCGGTGGATTTCTCGTGTGAAGTCCCGCAAACAAGGACACGGCTGAGTGGGTGTCCAGTGAAGCTAACAGGCTAAGCTATCTCACACCAGTAGAAGGTGGACACGCGCTGAGACGAGGCCCTTCTGTATTAGCTTTTCAGACTCTACGTGTTTTTAATTATCAAATTAAGATATTCACTCAGTCAGCAGAGGGGTTTCTAATAATGCCCTGGAGGCTGAATTGAACTGTTTTTGTCCCAGCGGTGACACTTCTTCTTCTTCGTCTCCTTTCCTTCTTCTTCTTCTTTTCTTTTGACAACGATGAACTCTGTTTGGCTCAGACCGCCAGCCAATCAGAGCGCACGGTGCCTTCGCGTACTCCACAAACGCTCCGCATTCACACTTTTAACAATGGTAAATGCGACCCCTCGTTGCGTTCAAGTGGTCACGGTTGTCGTAAATACTTAATGGTGAAAAACAGCCATTAACCCTAACTTCCTTTAACAGGCCACTTTATCTCCAAGACATGACAAGCATATTTAACCTTTAACAGGGTTATATTATAATATAACGTTTAACTTAATAAGACTTTGAATGCAACACTTCTACTTGTAACAAAGCATTTTTAGCTGATGTATAACTAAACTACTTACACTTTATTAAATATCTGAGTAGAAAACTTCTTCCACTTCTGCATAGAATTTATCTTCGTCTCCGCAAACATCGATATATATATACATGTTAAATAACTATCGATCGATCTAACGCTGTGATACGGGGCGTGTTGACAGTAGTCTTTGTACAGTACTGTAAGGAAGTGACGTTTGCCCCTACAAACAGCAGGTGGCGATATTGTTCAATTTTGGAAGGGAAATTGAGGCATAATGGACAAACATCGTCCAATTAATCCAGGAGATTACTCATTCTCAGTTTCAGTTTTTCTTGTACATTTGTAAATGGTTGGCTTGCATACAATACAAATCAATTGTTTTAAGTAACTCAAGCTGTCTGATGGATGAGTTAAAGTTAAAAGGAAATATCTCAGTTAAGAATACTCAATACCAGCAACTCAAATACCAGCAACTCAAAATGTGTAGTATTTTACCACTGAGTGTCATCATTAAATAGTTTTTTGCTCTTTTACTTCATCTTTTCCACACTCTGGAAGTCCCTCCGGCCATCTCTGATGTCAAAGCTCTGGAGCGCTGAAGGTCAAAGGTCAACCTCAGGCCCGGACTGAAGGATCATGCATGATTCACAAAGACTGCTTTGTTTTCTGTGTTCAACGTGGTTTTCTTGAAGTTTCTCTGATTTGCTGCATGTTTCATATTTACAATGGACAAGGACTATTTCAAAAGTGCAGCAGAAAATAACAACTTTTGTTTGACACTTTGACAACTACGGGATTAATTTCCCTTAAATGTTGTACAAATATTTATATTCTTATCAGGATCATTTGTAATAAAGTTCTTGATACTCATATTTAATTTAGCTTGATTATCAGGTCCAAAGTATAATTGTCCATTACTTTGGAAAGCAGCAGAAAAAAGCAGAACTGAGTACACTTTTATACGGGTTTGATTTATCGCAACTCTTAATATTATCAAAATATTCAGTTACTTTTATGCAAATACGATATTTTTCTTACATCGTGCAGCCCTAACCTACTGCAGTAAATGCAACTCACACATTAATTCAGCAGTTAGTATAAATCAAAAACATAATTTGTAAAGTTAAAGCAAAACTTACAAGGAAAATTGCTAGTAATACTTTCATACTTTGACTTAAGTAAGGTTTTGATTGTAAAGCGTTTACTTCTAGTGGAGGATTCCCAACTGTTAGTTATTTCACTAATGCAGATTATCTGAAATGTTCTTTGAATATAGAAAACATAAACTGTATATCTACGGGGAGTTGGGAACCTCATGTGTTTGAAAATATGTACAAAGCAGACTTGTAAAAAAATGAGCGGAACCGTGTTGACGTGGAATACTGTTTTTTTATTGTCTGTACCAAACTTTTGTTTTGTTTTCAAGAGTATAACAAACACATTAAAGTCTAGCAAAAACTGTAGATGAGAGGAAAGAGACTCACAGTGAACACGCTTTTCACCACTGATTGTTGAGAGGGAAAAGGTCAGAGGTCACACAAGCACCACCATTACCTTCAAACACACACCATAAACACATACACCTGCATGACTTCAGACAACATGTATTTTCAATGTAATCATGCACAAGTACTTAGAGATAATATGGATCCCCAAAGCGCCGTTAAACGTCCTGAGCATGAACTCCTTCAGGCGTGTGTGACTGAAAAACATCCAGAAAAACGTCTTGTACCAAAGTTTGATACAACACACAGTCCTCCTCCTCAGTAACACTTACAAGAATACATTTTTACAACCAGACTGGAGTCAACACACGACCTCAAATACTTGTCAGGAAAACCACCGACCCCTGACAGGTGATTTAATTGTAACAGTTTGTTTTTGGACTCTATAAAAAACTTTTAGGGAGTTCGGAGGTTACATTGGCGCTGGGTTCGGTACAGAGGCCACTATAAAAGAGGGACATCCTTTTCCTCTTCAACATTGCATAACAAAAAGCACTTATTCACTAAGGCCCGACCAAACACACTGCTTGAGGAAATAAAACAAATGGTAGGAAAGCTGCTGTTCTGGCTCACAGTATGCAGAGAGGAGGAAGTGTTTACGTCACGCAGTGTTTGTCCTTAGTGTGCTACGATTTGTCTTGGCATCAAAAACACCTAACGAATGAATCGGTTTCCTCAGAAACTGGTTAATATGGAGCTTCAAAGTCATTCAATATGACTTGTGTAACATATGTGAGGCCTGGAGTGGATGGTGTAAGTAAAACAGCATTTGTAATTTATTGGGAGCATGTATTTTAAGTTGCATGTAGCACCAGCTTAGTGGGATTTTACCAATATCAAATGTGACTTGTCAACCGTTTAGTTTGGTTGCGTTTCTGCAATTAAAGCACCCTATGTAAACTGTTTTGATAAACAATTGTTTTCTTTAAGTCATGGTCAACAAAACATTTCCAAAAAGCTTGAATTGTTAGGAATTCAATGAAAATATAAACCCAACATTTTTCTGGTTGGACTGTTGGTCAAACAAAATATTCAACTTTCCAATTATCAGAAAAGTTATGTTGCCACTTTATCGATGAAAAAACTATCCAGCAGATTAAGCCATAAAACAATGTTTATAAATTGTAGAAACTCATTAAAAAAAGCTCAGTTTCAGCTGTGTCTCTTATCCAATAGTAGATTTTAAGTTAAAGTAAATCTTTAAGAGTCCGAACTAAACATGGTAAAGCAGCGTTCAGTTATTATGCTCCAAATATCTGGAACAAACTCCCAGAAACCTGCAGGTCCGCTGCAACTCTGACTACTTTTAAATCCAGGCTGAAGACTTTTCTTTTTGTCGCTGCATTTAATTGAACTATTCATATCTTAGACTGCACTGTAACTTTTATCCATGTATTTTTTCTTTTAATGTTTATTTTATTATCTTTTCTTTTTAATGACTGATTTTAAATGCCATTTTCTTAATGTCTTTCATTTTTTGTAAAGCACTTTGAATTGCCTTGTGTTGAAAAGTGCTATATAAATAAACTTGCCTTGCCTTTAAACTCTAACAGGGCCAAAGACCCTGACAGTAAGGAGCAGTTTTTGAGTACTGCACATATGAACTTAAAAGATTTTGTCTAAAAAAATAGAGGAAGAAGGTTTTCATTATTTCAGTGCCCAAAATGTTTCATATGAAGATCAGATTTAAGGTGATTATGCTTTATCAGGCCTTCACCACAAGCCGGATTCACTTCCAGCTTATTTCTTTAGAATTTGAACGATAAGACCGAAGAGGCCACAAACCATTTTGACTCGTCGTCAGTATGATCAGTTTCCTGCAGTGTACCCCAAGAACTGGGTGGCTGCGAGTAAAACAGGCTACAAGTCTGACAGTGTTCACACACATTCGACGTAAAAGCTCCTAAATTAAAGCTGAAAGTCAGCCCGAACTTTAACCTCATAGTTGGATTCAAAACCCAAAATACTGCAAGTGTACTGCATTCTTGCAGCTCAGCGCACGGCCAAGGTTGTCTGTGCTTAGAAGAAAAGCGGATCCTAAGTTCAATTAAGTCTTAGAACGGATGTAGAGTAGAAAATAATACATTCTATAAAAAGTGAGCTTTATTTCTAAAAGTCAAAGAAAGATGTTTCTTTTTAGATGGTCTTAATGAAGGCAACTATCAGAAAATACAAATGAAATACCCAGGCACCCTTTGATTATGTGCAACATTCAACCCTCACGGCAGTGTTTGTAAGATAGTGAAATTAAACACTTAAATATCAAATATCTGCACGTCTAAAATGACTGATCAGCTGATCCGTTTGTCCACAGAGAAAAACGCTCAACTCAGTATTTCATCTTTAATTGACTTCTGCAGAATATTGTGCAGTAGTCGTAGTGATGCATTTTCTGCTCAACTTGTTGCAAGAAAAACAAATCATTTACTGGAAATCCTTGATTTAAAATCTGCTACTGCGAAACACCATAAATGTTTCTGCTTTATGAGACTCTGCTGCACCCCGACACATCTTCGTCCAAAAATACCTCCAATGTTGTTTATTTTCAGAACACATTAAAATATGACTAACAGTACAAACATTTGCCCAAACAGCAGCAACTTACATTAAAGAAAAATATAAAATAAGAAGTTAAGAACAATGTTTTCTTATGAAAGAAAATGCTATGAATAAGGCCATTGATAGTTTAGTACTCGAATAACACATTGCTGTTAACAGTTTGTGTGGCATTAACAGTAATGTGTTGTTTCAGATTAAGCACTTAGAGTACAGTGGAACAAACTGGTCTTAATTCAGATCCACAATACATCATGTTATTAGTATTAAAATTGGTCAATCAAGGAGTGGAGATTGGAAAAGAAAAGAGGAAGACGACACCCGACTTGCATTCCCAGAGGAATATGCCTTCACGGTGGCAACTCATTGATCGTGCAATTTTTTCTTTTAACAGATTCAGGGGACAAAAAAGATCCAACTTTAGCAATCAGCAAAGTATTCATTGATCACACAGCCTGAAAGAAGCACAGGAGGCTCTGCAGGTCTTAGTAAGGGCCACTGATATAAAACAGAGACCTACAGAACGCCGTTGATCATACAGTCATTCCACTTTTTACTAATTGGCATGTTGATCAAAAGGCGGCCATCTCACATCGACACCCAGGTTGAGGGAGCAAAAACCAAAATCTTAAGTTATTGTGAGAAGTAAACTAAACCGTAACAGAAAACAGTTGTATAAAGCTGAGACAATGACGGACAGGTGCCTGAAAAAAGGTCAAAAGAGAGTTGACGGGAAAATGAGATAAAACAGTAGCATACATTTACAAAAGCTTCTGAAGCTCAACGGGACAAAATCAGGATGATGTCCCTGGTGGAAACAAAAAAGGCCATGAGAAGACCGACTGCTGCCTTGTCCCAGACTAAACCCAGAGCCCGTTGGCGTCACAAGTTGCTTTTCCTCATTTCATTATCTTAGAAATATACCAGCTACATAAAACTGGAATTCTAGGTTTTTTCTAAATGCCTACAGGCTTGAAGTTACATTTTTTATTTCAAAAAACACAACTCAAATGACTAAAATTGGCAACAGTTAGCAAAAAGTACACCTCAGATTTGGTTTGAAATTATGCAAAACTACAGCTTTTCCATTTTCCTCCAATTGAATACAAATCAGTGTCAACAGGAAGGCACAAAATGGCTGCAGTGTCTTTAAACACAAACAAAAAGTGTGTGTTAGTTTGGGACAGAGGGACAGCCGGGTCTTCAGAGGAGGTTCTTCATGTTTGATTTGTTTCAAATGGATTATTAAACACATACAATCACACACACGCACACGCACACAAATACACACTCACACAGAGAACATCACCGCGCTTTCCACACTCAAGTTCGTTACAGAAACCAGATATGTTCTGCACAATCTGGTTTTAAGGGTGGGTGGGGTTACAGGGGGGGGGGGGCTGGTTGCGAGGCAGTGACCGAGGCTTTGTAGATTATTGATAAAAGATGGTTCAGGACAGAGGGAGCTGTACGTCTGCTAGAAGTCCGGCAGGTTGGGATTTGGGTTGAGGATGGGTACAGGGGGGGGGGGCATGTCGAGATCAGGTTTGCTGTTGGACGTTAAACCAAACTGGCTGTCTTGAATTGAAGAAGGATCTCGAGGTGGTTTGTAGACCTGGGCATCCGAGTGAAAAGTTGCTTGCAGTCTTGAATATTAAAACTCCTCCTGCTCCTCGGCATCCGGTATCACGAAACCCTCCTGCAGACACAGAGAGGGGGGGGGGGGGGGGGTGAATGAGCAGCACAACAAACAGCTTTACCATCACAGAAAGTGACTTTGAAGAAGTTACTTCTAAAGCCCTTATTAAAGCTCCTAATGGGAAACACTGAGGACCTTTAAGAGGCTTAATAGTTCCTCAAGAAGAGGAGAACATGCAGAAAAGACAAAGAGGAAGGAGAACTATTCTAAAAAACAGTGAAAGACAATGAGACACAACCAAAACGATCGTGCAGCACCATGTTTGGTCTCATTACTCATCCTCAACTATTACACCAGAAATTAAAGTGATCCCAACGCCAAGATATTTTGCGACTTCAAAAATGCAGCAAGTGTTTGCTGGGATACAGATTAACATGTCAAACTGACATTGTAACTTATATAAAGGTTAAAGCTGAGACATTTCCCTGTTACAGGGTATATGCAGGAATCCTGAAGTCAAATGTAATGCCTTTTACAGTGATGCAAACACACGTATGGTGAAAAGAGAGAACTATTCGAAGCAGAAAAAAGACAGCGTAATATACCGTCTGACAAAGGCCTGTGCTATAATGCTTCAATTAACTGGCTAATCTTTATAATATACTCAGATCAATAGGAGACAGAGATGTTAAGTTATAAATCAAGGGTTTTATTATTATTTACAGCAGGGGTGGGGAACCTTTTTCCTTTCAATTCTTACAACATCCTCCGAGGGCCGTGAAAATTATTGAACTCAACCTGCTTAAAAAAACTTGAACATGATTTAAGTGTGGGGGGAACCTAACTTCCTCTAGGGGAGTCCGGGGGCATGCTCCCCTGGGAAGATTTTTTTTTAATATTGAAATTAAAAGCATCAATCTGGTGCACTTTGAGAGCAACATGAAGAGATCTATGGATACATCTTTAAACACCCACATGAAACAGAACTGTAAGCAGATTTTTCTTTTTGGATATTTTACAAATCACCCTTTTAAACTCTATTCTTGTTATTTTTAACAACTTTTTTGTTACTGTCATATAGTATTTTATTCCTGTTTTTCATTTAGTCTCTAATGTCTCATTAATAACTGTAATGATATCAAGGTGTGCCTTAACCTCACTGAGCTGAGGTTATTTGAGCCTCTCAGGAGAGAGCTCTCTTCCACCTGGTTGTATAAAAGCTCTTTAAATTCGTTAGCATAGCTAGCTAACCAGATGCTAACAACAACAGATCGCCACTGTGCTTACAACTAAAGACACAGCCACGCAAACACTGCAGCATGTGTACGGCTCCTTATGGGTACTGCAATATTTGAAGAGCTGGAGCGGCATTCCGGTGCTCTCCGTCAGCACTCTAGTCCAGGGGTTCCCAACCCCCGGTCCGCGAAATAGCTGTGAGTTTATCGTAATATTTGCAGAATTATAAATATATAAAAATATTTTAATTAATTTCCGCACCTATACCAGTCATATTATTTCATCCAGTAGCCTAGTTAATCTTTCACCAGAAAACCATTGAAAATGGCTTTTATGATGTTCCGAGGGATTCGGCGGCTCAGCCTGGTCTCAGCCTCTCGTGCGCACGAGAAAGTAGGAAGAGGAGCGCACAGGAGACAACCGTTTAATTGCAGACTGTTATGTTGATGTAGGGAAATGGCAGTGCATACATTATTTGAGATATATTTCAAACTCTGACTTCATTTTAAGGACATGTCGGCCAGGGGTGTAGAGCTATTTGTTTAAGCACCGGATTGGCAAAACAGGAGAGTAAACCAGTCTGCCTTGATCTATGAATTCATGTCCGGGACTCTCACAGTATTTGCCCGCAGCTGTTTTTTAGAAGGAAAACCTCCTTCACTTCAGGAAATGGCTGCAGCATCAGGAGGCAGCGGGACGTGTAACTCCGCCTCTGAGAAGTGCAGCACCAGCGGGTAAAGAAGTGCATTTTTACGCACCGCCTTCGCTGTGTTTACCTTCATCAGAACAGCTTAAGAGTGACTGCAGAGTGACACATCGAACTGCCCGATTACTCCCCCTTTTATTCGTTTTATGAAGGAGATGTCCAGTCACCAAGGCGCATGATGTGTGTGTGTGTGTGTGTGTGTGTGTGTGTGTGTGTGTGTGCTCAGCTCTGTGTGTTCGGTGTGCTTGTGTCTGTCCGACACCGGCATTCAGCTGTTGAACTGCTGTTGTCTTTGCTGGGCTCCGGTGATTGGCAAATCTGGGTGATGCCTTCTGATCTATATATACAGTCTATGCTTCTGATATGATTTAGCATGTTTGGCGTGTGTACCATTAGCATACCGCACCACTGTAGAACAACGGCGACACACCGTGCTCTTCCGATCCACCACTCGTACACTTCATCGTTATTGTAGTCCACAGGGAACCCGAAATGTTCCCACACAGCTGATTTAAAAGAAGCAGGTGGGTTCTAGCTCCTGTGTTATCTGAAATCGCCATACTAACTTTTCTTCTTCTTGTATTTTGTTCGTTTTGTTGTTGTGTTTCTTCTTGTTCTTCATTTGTTGTTTAAGGGCGGCTGGCAAACAGCTTTTAGGCGCAATACCACCCCCTAGATTATAAATAGTGTAGTGGATACTGCCCTGAATGACACTTTTTTCCCACTCATAAAAAAAGGCGTATTCGTCGTGTGACTGCGTGTGCCGAACCGTGACGAATACGGATACCGTTACACCCCTATTGGGCACCCCTGCTATATACAGGGCCTATTGATTGTCCTTCCTCCTTATCTTCCAACCATTTGGACGCAAACTTGCATTTCCCCATAACGATGTTTAACAACCGGCGTAAACGGACCTTCACGCGCTATCAAGCAGTGAGCGTGCGATGTCCTGTTCAGATGACGTCAAATCCAACGGGATGCCACAAATAAACTACACAGAATCACACTACACACCTACGCAATGATTACATTCAGGCAGACTGTAGAATACAACCTCTTTGGACAATTTATATACTTATTGAAAACAAGCTACAAAATGTAATGCCTTGGAAAATGCCGTTTAATACTTTTTGCTAAATAGATTTATCAACTTTTAATACCTTTTAAGACCCCGCGGACCCCCTGTGTTAACATCCAATAGATTTAGTACAACTCATTCTGTCAATGGGAGTGCAAAAGAAAGCCTGTGGTTTTTACATTACTTACATTTACTTTGAGTAAACAACTAAGTCAGCAGAAATCTTCATTACATAAAATGATATATTCATATTTAAACCATGACTGAGCGACAACATTTGTATTATTTAGCCTGTTGTTTTCACTGTCCAGTATTATAAAGAGTCATTTTTTATTGAATGTTCAAACAAACAATCACACCTTTTTAGAGAATGTGTTATACCAACACGGTCAAAGGCCAGCTACACCCACCCACGAGCAAAGTGACATAATGGTGTAGTAAATAGCAGCCAGTACCAGTAAAGCTTCTATCCTCAGTGAGCAGTGAGCTGCATGCCATTCCTCTGCAGGAATTTACAATGGAGTCAGCAGTTGTTAACAGCAGAGCAAATGGGCTTTAATCTGGCATTGAAGTCAAAATACATTTATTAAAAATAATGGTTTATTTTAGGGCAAATGTTAAAAGCATAAGCCTGGCTAAGTGCAGATAGTCGTTATTGTCAAACCATCTCTCAAACTTAAGGACTAAAGACTATTTTCGGCAGCAGATTTATCTACAGTTGGTGCCCTAGTGACTATCCGGTCAGGCTTTAATGAACACGCACAAACTTGTTGGTAGATACTGTTAGTTTTGGTCTTTGTTGATTTATTAAAAAAGAAAATGTGTAGAAGAATATTTTTTATTATTGTTTAAAATCTGCTTTACGTATATGTAATGTTCTATGGTTAAGATTAAGAAAATGTAACTGTCTAAATGTTTTTTTTAATGATGGCAGTTTTAAAAATTCTGTTAAATAGTCTGACTAAATGACAGACAAGTTTTTATATCCATAAACTCCTTGGACTTTGGATCCAAATACAGCTCCACTGAATGCAACGTTCCACCAACTCAAATTTAAGACTTTTTAAGACCACTTTGAATAGAATTTAAGACCTATTTCACGGCAAGAAAGTATGAAGGAAAATTGCTAGGAAAGAAGAAATACGTCCCATAATTACTTTCAAAGTAAATGTATTCATGTTCAACATAAGAACGATGACTGAACATAACAGTACACAGAACTGTGTCAGTGTGTTAGACAAAAAGTGTGTGTGTGTGTGTGTGTGTGTGTGTGTGTGTGTGTGTGTGTGTGTGTGTGTGTGTCACAAGAGCTATAGTCAGAGCTCTGCTGTCTTAATGTTGTTGTATGATTGGTGTTTAGCTACGGTATTTAGCGTCCACAGCACCTCAGCTTTTAGGGTTGACGTAGACTCAAACATCGCCCGGAGGTCCCCCGGTGTTGTTGCGGGAAATGCTTCACTAGCAAACGCTGCATTAGCAAACGCTGCATTAGCAAACGCTGCATTAGCAAACGCTGCATTAGCAAACGCTGCATTAGCTAACGTTGCATTAGCAAACGCTGCATTAGCAAACGCTGCATTAGCAAACGCTGCATTAGCAAACGCTGCATTAGCAAACGCTGCATTAGCAAACGCTGCATTAGCAAACGCTGCATTAGCAAACGCTGCATTAGCTAACGCTGCATTAGCAAACGCTGCATTAGCAAACGCTGCATTAGCTAACGCTGCATTAGCTAACGCTGCATTAGCTAACGCTGCATTAGCTAACGCTGCATTAGCAAAACAAACGCAATTTTTTTTGTGCAAAGGGTGCAGCGGGCTTCAAACACGTTCCCCTTCACTGGTTTCAACCAAGCACTGAATTCGTTTTTCTACCAAATACGGTTGAACTTACACTTCCCCATATTTATTTGTAAGTAGATTAGAAGATACCTGAGTTTATGACTGCCACTAGCTGAAGCTTGGTTGCTAGGTTACTAGCTGGGTGTTCTCCGATAAGGGGCCGGGGGAAACAAAGTTAGTGATTACTGGTTCCATGTTGATTTATTTCAATACAAATTGTTTAGGGGAACTGAAAGGCCATTACCATACTGGTTACTTTGCAGCCCAGACATTTGCCCCAAAACACATTTAGACGCAATCGCAACACAGAAGTACCTTTCAAATCCGATCATTTTTAAGTTCTAAATCATATTTAAGACCTTTCTTATTTTTTTTGATCATACTTAAGACTTTTTAAGGCCTTAAATTCTGATTATCAAATGTAAGTTTCTTTAAGACCCCGCGGGAACCCTGTGAATGTTATGAAGAACAGCAGATTAACTCACGTCTGTGGCGTAGAGGATGTCGATGATCCTCTGCATTGTGGGGTCGCCCTCTCCATCCTTCTCCTGGCAAATCAGCTCAATGTTCCGCAGCTTTCCAAAATAAAAGTCTCTCTCCTTCTCCATGTCCTGAATGGTAGATTTCAGGAGCTCAACCTGGGGGGGAAAACGGTCAGAAAACATTACTTTCCTTTCTTTTAACCAGTTAAGCCCCGAGCCTGTTTTTCAGGTCTCAGGCTCGAAAATGACATTCCCAGAACAAATGACTATATCTTCACTTCTAAAAAGGGGTAAATTAATAATCTTTTTTCTCAAAGCAATGATAAACCTGTGAGTTGGATGTAGAAAAGTCAGAATCAATATAGATTTTTTTTTATTTTAAAGTAAATTCAGATTGAACATAGTAAAGAAAATGTATATTATAGTGTCCGTCCAAAAATAAACCATTACTTATAGTGAAAACCACCCTTGAATGATGGGATGGCAGACTAAAAGCTTTAGGAATCCAAACTATAACATAATAAGTACCCTGTATCAAGATTGATGCAAAACAAGTGACATGTGACCTTTTTAGAGAGATATAAAAAACTTCTGGGGTCATTTGGGTGCATTTTCCATATCTCTGGCCCCCCCTCGGTCGATTTTGATGATTGACACCTCTTTTTAACCGTTAGAGCCAATAGAATCGAGGGGAGGTTCCTAAAATCCATCTAAACATTACCCATTGGTGAATGAGTGATGCGTAGCCAGAATGCCCAAAATCGGAAGCTGTCATACACTCTAGTAGCAGGCAGCTAATATGAAATCTCCGTTATTGACATCAAAATGGAATGAACGATTATCAGTAATCATTTCAAAGTGACAGACACATTGGATTAACCCAGTGGTTCTCAAACTTTTTCTGTCAGGCCCCCCCTTTGGAGAAAAAAAAAAGTCGGGCCCCCCCCAACACAAGTCAAGCTCAGTGGCGGCGCCAGAGATTTATTTTGGGGGTGCTGTGGGGTAGCTTGACGTTTCATAGAGGGTGCTCAAACATTTAGGGTTTCCCATTAATGTACCGGGCGCTACAGTGGAATTTTCTACTGCAACACTCCCCACGCAAATACACAGTGTACCCGCAACTGTTACAATGAAGGCTCGATAATCAGCTCACGGCATATAGGTGTAAGCAGGGGTCAAGTGCTATTTTTATAGGTGGCGTGTGGACCTCACATAGGGGGGTCCGGGGGCAAGGATTTATTTATTATTATTTATATAAGTTAAAAGCATCAATCTGGTGCACTTTTAGAGCAAAATGAAGAGATCTATGGATACATCTCTCAACACCCATTTGAAACAGAACTGTAAACAGATTTACTTTTTGGATCTTTTACAAATCACCCTTTTAAACTTTATTCTTGTTTCACTGTCATATAGTATTTCATAGCTGTTTTTTTATTTATTCTCTTATTTTTTTATAACTATAATGATCATTATAAACGTGTGCCTCGGAAATAATTGTTTACATTAATGGTGACCAAAACGTTTGAGACCCACTGAGATAACACTGAGAGAGTCCTTTAGCTCACTGAGCCTCTCAGTCTGACAGGAGAGGACTCTCCTCCACTTTGTTGTTGAAAAAACTCCTTATATCCGTTAGCGTAGCTCGCTAGCACCAGAAGCTAACAACAACGATCTCCGGTACCGGTGCGCTCTCTCTCTCGCACACAAAATGGCCACACACACACACACACACACACACACACACACACACACACACACACACACACACACACACACACACACCACACAACACACACACACCACACACAGCACACACACACACACACACACACACACACACACACACACACACACACACACACACACACACACACACACACACACACACACACACACACACACACACACACACACACACACACACACACACACACACACACACACACACACACACACACACACACACACACACACACACACACACACACACACACACACACACTGGATTAACCTATGGATCGTTTTAATGCTATTGAACACAACTTTTGATTAGAAACAGCAAAAGACAAATGTCCCGATTTTGCTCCATAAAGCAACGTCGTGTGTTGTCTGGCTTTGCTTCTCCTGTTGAGTTTTGATCTCTCAGTGATGATACTTATATTTCTGGAATCTGTGGAATCTCAGCTTGCTAGCTAATATATTGTTTGTGCAGATAAGTAATAAATTATTTATACCTAGAGTTCTGTGCTAAGTGCGTTAGCATTTTTTCGCTCAGGGCTCATTTAGCAAATTCATAGTTTTTAAATGTTAAGAAGCCCTCAGACGCAGTTTCTTGCAAGATGTTGCGTCATGCCCCCGCTGCTTAACAGGTTAAGGCAACTAAATTTTACAGAACATAAAAACCGTCGGTGTGCTGACCTCATTCATGAGCTCCGCCCTCTCCTCGTCCCCTCCACCAAGAACCGTCTTCCTCGCGCTGACGTTAGACAACTTGGGTGCTACCTTTGCAACGGGTGGCCTCTGAGTAGCTGAAGAGGCAAGAAAATAAAGTTTAAACAAGAGACAAACTTTAACTCAGCAGCATTTTTCTATTTATTTTCACACTGTGACTGACTTTGACTGATGGCCTTTTTAGGTGGTTTGGAGAGAGCCGACATGGAGGGGTTGGGAATGGGCATGGTGTCCTGACCCTGCCTCGCCTCCACGGGGTCGTACTCCGTCCCATTGTAGTTGGCATCAAAGAACTTCTTAAACCACTGGACAAACTCAAAGTTGTCCTGGAACTTGCCCTTCACCAGTTTGTCTACAGGAATGATCTGAAAGCAAAAAGAGACCAGAGTAAAGACCAGGAAGCAAATAGGTATATGTGTTAGCCAGTTGCTAAATTGCAGATACAAATGACATCCTGATTCCCTTCTGAGTCCATCTGATATCAGTTCAATTTGTTGCTGTCATTTAGCTTTAAAAATAAATACAATGCATATATAATGAGTTTTTAAAATTCAACATCCCTTCGTAGTTCACACTTTATGTTTTAATAAAAAGAAAAAATAATAATATGGCTTGAATCTGAAGCCAAAATATACCAAGGGTTCATACTTTGCTCTACTAAAAAAGGTGAAACCAGCACAGAAAGCACAACAAATAAAAACTGTATAGACATCAGAGGATGCTAAGCTCTGCAAATGCATTGATTACACATACATTAAACACAAATTTAGCTGGGAACAAATCCACAGAAAGGAAAAGAGAGCAGCCGTAAAAATAAAAATAAATCGACGTCAGCAGTAAAACAAATTACTCGGCGATACAGGAAGCTGACATCAGTGGACAATACACAGAGCCTGAACGAGAGCAAAGTTCACAATGCAGGCACAATGCCGGGGATTATAACCCTGAACAGCCATGAATACTGATGTGTGCTACATGTTCAAGCATCTCTTACACTGATCTATAAATCAACACTGCAGGCATTTCAAACGGAGCGCAGATGGACAGTAGCGAGTTCAAACAAATGGGCGGCAAACAGGAAGTTGAAACATGAATAAATGATGACTGCTTTGTCGATAGTCCTGCAAGCTGCTGCATGTTCAGTCTGCAAACATATGACTCAGCTACATCTGCCCTGCCCCTTTTAATCTCTGTCAGCAAGATCAAGACATTATGAGGCATCAAGAAGTTCTCAAAGCAATTATTAAATGCACTTTATATTAAAAAGTGTATAAATAAGGAATATATCTAAAAACTTAGCAAAGTCTAACTCATGCCTTTTCATATGGCAGCAGCTGAACAATGTGTGTTACACCATTACGCTCATATTAGGTCAACTAAACCAAGATTAATTGACTTACATCCCTGAGAAAATGACAGTAGAGCATTGGTAAATCTGCCTATGAATAGGTGTCTCATTGATTTGTAACGGATGAAAAGAGAGTAAATCATATCCAAAAGGTGACACAAAGTGCAGAGAAACAAACAGCATGACTCATGACCAGATCAGCAGCTCAGCTGGTTGGGAGGGAGCGACAGGAGGTTCAGTTTGCATACCACAGGGCTCAACGCTAACTTTTAAAAGTGGTTGCCAGGATGGCAACTAGGCATCCGCTTTTGGTTTCCAAAACTGAAAATACGGTTGCCATTTTTAGTCACCTTATATTTTAAATAATTAAGATACTATACAGTTATACATCAACTTAATAATGAAAATGTGACACAAAAGAATGTTCAAATGCTTTACAATAGGTAATTAACACAATTATTTGAAACCTAAGAGGTAGTAAACTTGTCCACCCTCAATTGCTGGTATACAAAATACCAGTAGTGCAGCTGTTGTCACGTTCTTCACAGATCCCTCACAAATGAATTGAGCAAGTCACTAGGTTCGTCATCCGTCGTCTCCCTTTCAAATGTGGGTTTTCTTGACCTTTGTGCTGACCCCCACCATAGACCCACTGGCCCTTCAGCATTGAAGTCTTGGATTGGCCAGACTAATACATTTCTAATGTTAAATAAATGAAAACCATTCACAGTTAAGAATTAGATATTAATTATTAATGCTGTAAATTACCTTTAATATGTCTAACTATATTTATAATGTGTTACCTTTTTATAGAAGTGATTATATTTGTATGCCAATATTTTTCTATGGTAAAGTTTCATTTAGCACTTTTATTTTGGTAGTAATAAGATCGGGACTCTTATTTTGAAGGAACTTTTAGCGGAAGTGAATGCACAACTGAGCAGAATGTACATATATATTTCGCCTCCCAAGACTTTACACATTTCCTCTTTGCTTTCGTTCGGGTTTACCTTGCGCTTCATCAGTTGAATCACTTTGAACATTCGTTTGAGATGTTGACGGGTTGGCTGAACTTTTTACCCCACAGTCAAACAACTTAATTTGCGTCGCCATTTTTTGTAAAACAAACACGGCGCACCGCGCACGCGAGTAAACGTGCATTGCTTTCTGGCTCCGTAATCACACCAATGCACGTGCAACTTAAGTATCAGGTTGCGACTGGTCACAACAATAATTAAATATCACTCTTAATACAACAAATATTTAACATTGATCTATTTTGGGGAGCATATTTAGCTGTTTGCTGTCCTTATTTCTTTATGTTAAAAACTGGTTGCCACTGATGGCAACCAAAGGCCAAGAAGTGGTTGACATTTTTTCTGAATGGTTGCCAATGGCAACCTGGCAACCGTTACTGTCGAGCCCTGATACCAGTAAGAAACTTTAGAGTGAGGTTACTCTACAAACATTTATAATATTCATTTGGCACGCCTTTATACACCATTGTCGCTCTATGGACGCGTCTTCATTACAGTGTCAAAAGACAGGGGAGTTTAGTAAGTATAGGTGTAGTGTTTTTACACAAGAAAGAGGAAGTTGCCAGTAATCCAGATAAAATGCAAACTAATCCTCAACAAGGCAACATGACTCATTTCCAGGGACTTCTGACGACAGCTGTTAAGAACTTGAGACACTATTCATGATATGCAAACCCTTCCCACTTCTGCTCCATGATGAAAGCTTAGTAACCCATTGGAAGTTTCAATGACAGTTGGAAGGTTGCATCTATGTCATTTTCCAGTATATTACTTATTGTAGTCTTATAGTGGAAGTTATGTTCATTGACAACTGTAGTCTTCTTGTCATCCTCTGTTGGATGGTTTGCCTGCAACCATTTCCATGAGAGGCCTTCAAGCTAGCAGCAATGAGCCATGTTGCTCAGGTGTAATGTAACAAAAGAACAAACATCTTCTTTACAAATACCGTCACAATATTTTATGCAATTCAAAATAACAAAATAAAGGACAAGGAAAAACAAAACAAAAATGGGCTGCCCTTTTTTGTTTCCTTTAACTACTCTGCCTCTTAAAAAACATGTCTCTTTTTAACATCAAAGTGCTCGAGACTGAACCAACAACAAGTCACACACTTCAATATCAGAAATGATCTTAGGATCTCTTGGATGCCTCATGTAATTCCAATGTGTAAGGTGCAGTAGATGTGTGGTTACTTACTTTATCGACTCCCATCTTTTTGAAGGAAACTTGCAGAAGCTTGAAGTTATGAATGTATTCGTGCTCCAGCTTGGCAGCAAATTTAACTTTCTTCAGAGGCACAGAGTTGGGAAACAGCATGTCCATGAACTGGCAGTAGGCAGCACCTGGACGATTACAATTATCCACATTAAAAGTTGATCTTAAATAGTGATGGAAAAGCTGCTTAAGGTAGCATATAGCGATAGTACAAATTCAGCACAGACATTTAACCCTTTCAGACTACACCAATAACTCAGTCAATTCTTAATTTCATTTGCAAATGTACACCCTATCATGTAATGCTATGTTACAGGGATAATGGCACTAAAGTTCTTTTAGCCAGTTATGCATATGTTGGTGTGCTCTTTAGATAACTGACAGCACCACTGACTTACTGCACCATAGCACCAGTACAATCACACACACAGTCATGACGGATCGGGTCCCCCCAATATGAGACATTTCTTACCTGTACACAACATTTCTATCTTGGTGAGGTTCATCTGTAGAGATTCATTGATCCAGATCAACATGTCATGACGACTTAAGTTTTCACTGGTCACTGAGGTGGAGTGCACGTTCACAGCCATTGTCGGTCACCTGCTGACAGACGAGAGAGCAAGTGTGAGAAAGATTTACATGACTGGTTTACTGGTCAGAGTGACAGTGACTGGTCACAGCCAACACAGAAACAGAGCTGGTGTCAACGAGTTAACGCATGATAAATGCTGTGTCGTCAATGGGTGGAATTTTTAACTATAGACTTTGTAAATAATATGACTAAGAACTGTATAAAGCACAGATACATGCAACTGTGGTTATTGATTAATACATTATTTGTATGTTCTCAGATAAACAATTGCCTTTAAATAATGTACTTTTTATTTTGAGGCAAAACTTAATTCCTGATTATTTTCATTATCAATTCATCTTCAAAGTATTTTCTTGAGTGACCATTAGTAAGGTACCATTTCATTACAATATCAAAAATGACTATTCAACAACATAAGTTTAGTACCATATAAGAAAGAGAAAAGCATACAATATTAACATTAGAAAAGTTGAACCAGTACTAGCACTAAATGGATGAATTAACTTACAGCTTTAGGCAACACAGAAACATAATATGTACCGAATTTAGATTTATTGTAATATAAATCACATTGAACATGAAACTTGGCATCCAAGTTGACATATTTCAGGTTTGCTTTTAGTTAAAAACCTTCTAGTCAACAGAGCCTGTGGCTTTTGGACAGGAGAACTGCTGCACCATAGGCACACCCCGATATGCTGGCTTCCAAAAGAATATTCTTATTATCAGCATGATTTATAGTTTCACTTCAACATCAACCAGTCATTATTTTCTTATAACCAGTGTTGTCAGTTACATAAGTTATTAAAAACAGAGCAAGTGAGGCTTCAAGTCATCGTGTACGCACTACAATCATTACAGACAATGATATGTCTCTATAAATAAATAATTTAAAAAATGTCTCCAGTTACAGACGAAACGCTCATCCACATTCACTGGTGTGGCTCATATCCAGTTATTTCCTCAACAGCTGAAAGTAATATATAGCGAGCCTGTAAAAATAACAGGTCCCTTCTGACATGGTTGACTATTGTGTTAACAACAATCTGATCCTGGTAGATGGTTTCACAAGTAAATGAGAAATGACACCATAAATGAGAATATTTTGTCATGTGTTGGTAAAAAAACAACAACAATCTTATATTAAAAACCCACCATATTAGGTAGGTTCTTAATGCAGGGTTTGTTGCAGATTCATGAAATAAAACTGTTGAAATGTACTAATGTCATTGCCACACATTCACGGATGCAATGTCTAACTATACGCTTCTGTACTTAATAAATAGCACACAATTTACAATATAAAGTGCAGGTATTTAATTATAATAACAACTTTCTAGAGCTTTTATTTCTTTTTTAGATTTGCAAGATTAATACTATTAATAAACCTATAAATATGATGTATTGTAATTGAAGTTGCCTGGCAGTATATAAAAGTATTTCAAAAAAGTATCTCTACCTTTAACAGCTGCAACATTAAACAATTATTACATTAATAATTTCTGTAAATATTTGAAATGGGTTACTCTGTACTGTGAATACTTTTCCTTAATAAGATTTATTTTGATGCTAATATTTCTATTGAAGTACGTCAATAGCTTGAATGCAGTCCTTTAACAGAGTATTTTTGACATAGTGGCACCTGCTCATACCTAAATGAAAGCACTGAATTTAATATGTGTTGACAGTTGGTCAACATTTGTTGTTTCATCGGCCAATTGATAAATGATAAACAAAATGTGTAAGATTGTCAAAATGAATAAACGTTGGTTGCAGCTCTAGGCAACTTGGACATTCCAGTAGATAGCAAGTAACGGTTAGCAAACGCAACAGGGCCCGGTTAGAAACTTCAAGGCTAACGGTAGCTGCAGCCAACTGACCAGCTATGCGGCTATCCTACATACTGTTTAAGCACGTACCAACAAGCTACACAATGGAATTAATCAAATGAGTAGTCGATTTACATATTAACGATATATAACGTTGGTAATAACGTAGCTAGGTTTCTGTCACCGGCTAATCTCGACCACTGGCTCCGGCGGACATTACAGAGTCGTTTTCCCCGCCCTGAACTCACCAAGCACCCCGCTATCTTGAGTTAGCTTCTCACTGTGGGCTGATGCGGCAAACGTTAAGTACCGAAGCTCAAAGGCGCTAGATGCGTCTGCAATTTAATCAAACAGATGCAGCAGTAGCTGTTTATATTCATTGGTAGCCTCGCCCTAGCTGGCTTATTCCGTTCGGGATCAGACGGTTATGTTCTTGCTAGCATCTTAGCTGAAAAGGGCTTAGCCACCTTTCACATGCCGGTGGCTAATAACGCTAAATAACTCCTTGTTTCAGCGAAGTTACACCTACCTTTAGTGGATTGGCTTTAACAGATCTTGGACACAGTGGTGTTAGTATTTTTCTTGGCTGTCACTCGGTTTCCTAAAAATATGTATCTGCAATTGTTGCGACGTTTTTAGGCACTTCTGCTTTTCGTCTCAGGCAGCTCCTCACGTTCACTCTACCCGGCAGCGGAAGAAGCGATCTGATGACGTAAGGACGTAATGGGTAACGCCTAAACGTAACAACGTAGTGACGCTTTTAATGCGTAGACCTCAACCCATACATCCATGCATAAAACACAGTGAACAGATAGAAAACAATATATTAGCACTATTAAAATAGATTTTGATATTTCAGATTAAATATTTGTTAAATACACAATTAGTTTTAAATGCCTTATTATTCATTGTTTTTTTAATTGTTCTTATTTGTATATCAAATATTGCATTTTTTATAGTATAATTATATTAAATAATCACAAAAATGTCCATAAAATATATAATTGTACAAGTGTTTTGTAAGGATCTAAAACAGACACATTTTCACTTGTTTTTCATTGTTTCACAATCATCTTTTATGATATATTAGATTATGTTGTTGTTTTTCACTATCTCTGTAAAGCGACTTTGAGCACCTGTAAAAGCGCTTACAAAATAAATCTAGTATTATTATGTATTATTAATTTTCATGATTAATTTGAGAGTTATATGTGAAAGAAAACAAAGGACTGTCAGTATTTTTTTATAAATTATCTTAGTTTTGTTAGAATTGTGGAAACTGACAAGATAATATGGGGTTTGTGAGCATGGCTGCACACCTGGTTTTAAAAAAACTGAAGAATGAAAAAATCAAAAACTGTTAAAGGAATCCTGGTACATCCTGATTACAAGGTAGAATAAATGACATTTAAATATAGTCTTCAAGTAAATCTACTTCCACAGCCCAAATTGTGAAGAAAAAAACTAAGAAAAAGAGAAGCCATCCGTGGGATCATTTTGCAATTGTTTTCTTTTATTTGTCTTGTCAAGTCCCAAGTAAAACGAATCCTTATTTTCAAACAATGACTTTGCAAAACATACATTATTTCCCTTAACAATGAAAATATCTGGTAGTGTACTCTACCCACATTTAAACATGAACATTTAACCCTGTACCTCTCAATGCAGCCCTCTGGTGTTCTGTACAAAAATAGAGTACAGCCCACTTTCATTCAAATAAAAAACACTTTTCAAAAACATTCTCCTATGATCCAGTCTTCAGTCAGAAAAAGACTAGTAGTTTTCTTTACAATCATCGGTCAATAAGGCCACATGCCTCAGTGGTGCAGCATCCTCACAAACACTTTGTCAGAAAAAAAAGCAATAAATATAAACATTTTGTGACAATTAGTCGATTCAATGCAGTAAACACTATTGTCGAATACAACTTATGTTCTGTTGAAACAAAAAATCTATTATTATTTTCCCCTGACAAATAAGAAACTCTATTTAACTACAAATAAGCAGCTGGTTGAAAAAAAAAGGTCCTTTTGGACTCGGATCGTCTCCCCATTAACACTGAAGGATCAAATATGTTATCGAAATTTGAGTATTGAGAAGCCTCTATTCTGTTCACTCAGGCCTTTGGCCTCAACTATATGATGAATTGGAAATGGGGGACCCTGATGTAAACAAGACGAAAGTCTTTCTCTGATCTGCATCCCCTTAACAATTGTATGTTTTGAGCTGTACTGTACTGTATGTACCCAATATAGGGCTACAAGCTGTTAATAAACTTTTCAATCAATCAATCAAACTAATATACAGTACTCAGCAACCTGTTCCTGTTTTGTTTTCTTCAGCCTATGTATCTGTATGATTATTATTACTTTTTGTTTTGTTTTGTTTCGTTACTTCCCATTGTAAAGCGTCCTTGGGTTTCGTGAAAGGTGCTATAAAATTGAAATTATTATTAAAAGATATGAAGAGAACAAAAAGGGATGAAAACATTATGGAAATTCATTAAAAACAGGATCAGTGTCTATACTGTGGAAGATAAGACACAAAAAACTGGTTTCTTCTCATCGATACCGACAATTTGGTTAATTTTGGTATAACGACCAAGCTTGCTGCAGAATATAAACTATATGAAACTACAGTAGATGTTGATCTAATGAAAATATATTGCAAGTTCTGCTTTTCTCCTGTAAACAACCAACATTATATATATATATATATATATATATATATATATATATATATATATATATATATATATATAACAGTAAAACAATATAACAGTAAAGAAAGGAGGCAGCTCTCAGTATAACATGATACACACACAAATAATTGAATATTAACAGACCAAAAATATCTTCCTTTTTAAACATGTGAACATCATTTGTTATCTACTTGAAAATGCTTAAAAGTCTCAAGGGTTTATGCCACATTTGGATTACATAATCAGCACCTGTATGTCATTGATTGACTTTCTTTCCTCCTGCAAAACTCTTTTGCACGAAACTAACCAGAGGCCGGTCTCGGCTTCTTTTACCATTCCAAGCTGAGATGTGTTGCTGGTCGGTAGCAGTGTTAACAATCACTGAACATTTTAGGGAATAAGGAAGGATTGAGAGTGTCTTTAAACTCCTGTGGAGGAGTTCAGGGGAAATAATAACAAACTAAAGCACAGAGCTGAAGGGATCACAAACATCCCTCTTTTGTGTCTTTGAAGGACAGAGTGACTGCTAGCTGTGCACAAAATCAAAAGCCTGTCTGAAATTGAAATTAGTAGAAGACTGCATAGTTCATTTCAGCCCAACCATTTGTTATTGTTAAGAACTCAGGCACTCAGGAGGCAGGACCCAATTGCACGACCCGGGAGAGAGGTAAAGTATTGGTAAGATACTTTATTTTTCCAAAACACGATGAACAAAAAATGGTCATTAACTAATCTCAGGATGAGATGACAAAAAAAAAAAAAAATCGCTCATGTAGTGAGGAACAAAACTTTTCAAGAGCACAGAGAGCATAGACCTGACCATGGCAAGAGACAAGACAAACTGACAAACACATGGGAGCCAGGGGAATTTAAGCACATGATAAGACACAGGTGGGGACACTGATGAGCACAGGAGACACAGAAGGGAAACAGGTGAACACAATCAGACAAACCAGGGAAACTAACGACAGGGAGGAAAACACAGGGAGAAGGACCAGACAAAACCCAAGGAGGAAAACATGACAAGGAGAACAGCAAAACACCCATAACACATACAAAACAAAAAACGTGACATAACACAAGAATCGTGACAGACCGACCCCCCCCCCCCCCCCCCTCAAGGGACGGATTCCAGACTTCCAAAAAAAAAATAATCCAAAATATCCAAAAGGGTGGGTGGAGGGGGTCCGGGACGACAACCCAGAGGCAAAGCACAGTCCATGATGGGTGTCTCGGGCCGACGGCCCAGGGGCAAGACAGAGTTCATGGTAGAGTCCTCGGGCGGACGGCCCGGGGCAAAGCAGAGTTCATGGTGGAGTCCTCGGACGGACGGCCCGGGGGCAAGGCAGAGCCCATGATGGAGTTCTCGGACGGACGGCCCGGGGGCAAGGCAGAGTTCATGGTGGAGTCCTCGGGCGGACGGCCCGGGGGCAAGGCAGAGCCCATGATGGAGTTCTCGGACGGACGGCCCGGGGGCAAGGCAGAGCCCATGATGGAGTTCTCGGACGGACGGGCCGGGGGCAAGGCAGAGTTCATGGTGGAGTCCTCGGGCGGACGGCCCGGGGGCAAGGCAGAGCCCATGATGGAGTTCTCGGACGGACGGCCCGGGGGCAAGGCAGAGTTCATGGTGGAGTCCTCGGCTGGGGAACTCAGGAGACCGGGCTCGAGGGCGAAAGCCGCTGGGAACTCAGGAGGCCGGGCACAAGGACGGGCAGGAGCTGGTGGAACCCCTGGCGGGTCAGGCGTAGACAAGACCCTGGACGGAACCTGGGCTGTGTCAGTGGGACCCACGACGGAGCAAGGGCTGGTGTCGATGGGACCCGAAACAGGACAGGACACTGTTGGCATGAAACTCGGCAGAGCAGGTGTCGGCGGGACCCCCAACGGGACAGGACATAGGGGTGGCAGGACCCCCGGCAGAGGAGTAGTCAGCAGGACCCCCAACAGGACAGGACATGGAGTTGGCAGGACCCCCGGCAGAAGAGTAGTCGGCGGGATCTCCAACGGCACAGAACATAGGATTGGCAGGACCCCCGGCAGAAGAGTAGTCGACGGGGCCTCCAATGGCACAAGACACAGGGTTGACAGGACCCCCGGCAGAAGAGTAGTCGGCGGGGTCTCCAACGGCACAGGACATAGGGTTGGCAGGACCCCCGGCAGAAGAGTAGTCGACGGGGCCTCCAATGGCACAAGACACAGGGTTGACAGGACCCCCGGCAGAAGAGTAGTCAGCGGGGTCTCCAACGGCACAGGACATAGGGTTGGCAGGACCCCCGGCAGAAGAGTAGTCAGAGGGATCTCAAACAGCACAGAACATAGGATTGGCAAGCCCCCCGGCAGAAAAGTGGTCGGCGGGATCACCAACAGCACAGAACATAGGATTGGCAGGACCCCCGTCGAAACAGGTGTCGGCTGGACCTCCAACGGCACAGGACATAGGGTTGGCAGGACCCCCGGCAGAACAGTAGTCGGCGGGGCCTCCAATGGCACAGGACATAGGGTTGGCAGGACCCCCGGCAGAAGAGTAGTTGGCAGGACCCCAACGGGAGAGGACATGGAGTTGGCAGGACCCCCAGTGGAACCTCCAACGGACCAGGACATTGGGTAGGGACTTGAGAGGGAACTCGAGAGGTGACTTGAGAGGGAACTCGAGAGGAGACTTGAGAGGGAACTCGAGCGGAGACTTGAGACGGTCGGTAAGCTGACAGGACACAGGAAGCTGGCAATCGGCCGAAGAGCCAGTACTGGAGCCGAAACTGGAGTCGGGACCATGGCTACTGGGGTCGGTAGTGAAGCCGGAACCATGGCTAGTGGGGCCGGTACTGGAGCAGTCCGTCGGTGAGTGAACAAATGATTCATCTGTGCAGCCAGTTGTTGCATCTGTGGAGAGATGTTTTCTTGAAACTCTGCCTGGCGTCCTACCAGCTCTTTTTATTTCTCACAGGCAAAATATTCCTTGAGGGGAGCGAAGAGGTGGCGGATGACGGGCACGCTCCACGAACTCCCCGACACCTTCTGCCTCTGCTGCCGGGTCATGT